TATTCTCTTTAACCATATTGCTCCCGTTTCTCCTGCTGCCTTGATGGCCTCAGCTGGTAGATCATCAATACCTGTCGCCTTTAGTCTAGGCGCGGTTCGAATGGCATATTTTACCTCATCGTTCGACATCAGTCATGCTAAACATTGAGTCCCGTCTGAGTCACAAATAGGATTGTGCGTTTAAGGTCGCCACCGGTCCCCCATAGCTTCTCTTGCAATGTGGCTCCCTTGGGCCAGATCCACAGTCTTTGCTGGGAGAGGTTAGGGCAGTACTGTAGTATGTGCTCAGGGGTCTGTCTTTCTGCTCCACAATCACAGGCAGCATATTCTTTTATGCCTATCCTGTACAGGTGTGCTCGAAGACCACAGTGTCCAGTCCAAAGTCTAAAAATTAATGTTTGTTCTTTCCTGTTGAGTTTGTTTATGCTGTCACTCTCTGGTCTGTAATCTCCGTTCTGCCTTCTCCACTCCCGCTTGAAAGACTGCTTTAGCGCTGCTTTGGTTTCCTTGTAGCTGTGTGGTGGATGAGGTTGTGGAAGATTACTCCCAGCTTTTGCCAACTCATCTGCTCTCTCATTTCCTTGAATACCACAGTGGGCTGGTATCCACTGCAAGACCAGTTCTGCTTCCTTGGAGAGTAAGCCAATGTTGGTCCTTAGATCTGCAATTAGTTTGTCTTGTTTTTGGCTTGATAGTGCTTGGAGAACAGATAATGAGTCACTAAGTATAACAATTTTGTGCCCTCTGTGTTCTTGAATGATGAGATGTTGGACTGCAGAAAGGAGGGCAGTTGCCTCAGCTCTGAAGTTGGTGCAGATGTCACCTGCTGGTAGAGACAGAGTTTCTGCTCTACTGCTAGGGGGTTTAATGTATATTCCACAACTCCCCTTTCTGACTGCATCTGTAGCAGAGCCGTCGGTGAAAACCTGAGTCCAAGTAGTGTTTAGATACTTCTCATCAAGCATAGCAAGAGCCAGGGTTCTCTGTTGTGTCTCCGTCTAGGCATCTTTTGAAGTGATCCCTGGTATCTTTAGGACTACATTTGCCTTCTCTGGCTTGCTTGTCCATGGGTTTGGCCTAAGTTTTTCGCACAGTGCAACATCTCTTTCAAGCAGATCTTGGTGCTGTCTGTACAGTTCTCTAGCAAGGTGGTTGGGGCTCTTCAGTCTGTTTTTTGTTCTCTTGAAATTTAAAATGCAGTGACTTTGAAGTCTTTTTAATTTCTCATACTGTAAAAGAGTTTTGTATTGTCTTTTGAGTTCGAGTGGTTCAGTATCTGCTGTCCTCTCTATCTCTCTGATGGGGGTGGTTTTCATGGCTCCGAGAACAATTCTTAATCCCATATTCTGAACCTTGTCCAGTTTTCCCATTGTCTTGGCTGCTGCGGCCCATGCAGTGGAGGCATATTCCATGACTGGCCTGACTGCTCCAGTATATACTTGTTTCAGGATTCTGGAGTTAGCGCACCATGTGGTACCCGCTAATTTTTTCATCACTGCAAGCTTCTTGAATGCTTTCCCCTGTACTGCTTCTACGTGTGACTTCCAAGTTAGTCGCAAATCAAGTGTAACGCCAAGAAAGGTAGGAGTGTCAGTCTGTGGAATGAGCTGATTTTTTATCCAGATTTCGATTTTGTCTTTTTTGGGGAGAGAGAGAAAAGTGATGCTGTGCTTTTTGATTTATTTAGCTTTAGACCCCACTTTTCGGTCCAGGCTTCTACATTTTCCACAGTTTTCTGTAACAGATATGAGACTGTGGTAGTGTTTTCGGAGGCTTTCCAAACTGCAAAGTCATCGGCATGTAGGGTATTAGAAACGTGCTGGTGGCAGGTTGCTATGATATCATTTATGCAAACCAGGAACAGAGTTGGTGCTTTGGCACTGCCCTGAGGAACTCCTTCTCTGAGTTTTGCCAGTTTGCCGATGTGTCCATCAATTCTGAATCTGGCTCTGCATTGGAAAAGAAAGTCCTTGATCCACTTGTACATGTTGTGCACAACTCCTGCCTGTAGCAGTTTTAGTTGTAGGCCTTCTTTCCAAACTGTATCAAAAGCACGAGAGAGATCAAAGAAGACAGCAAGAACTTTCTTTTTTTCCTGGAAGGCATTCTCTATTTCCTGCGCCAGATACGCCAACTGGTCCTCTGTGTTTCTGTATCCTGTCTGTGTGGTGGTGATTAACGAGTTTGTCTCTAAGAACCACATTAGTCTTTTATTAATTTCTCCATCAATTTTCCTACACAACTAGACTGCTCCATTAATTTCAAGAGCGATTCCCTATCAATGCTATCGAAAGCTTTTTTATTGTCTACGAATCCAATGTAAACTGATGAATTCAGTTCTGTGCTTTGCTCTATTATTAAACATAATGTGACTGTCTGGTCAGTACAGGATCTGCTAACCGAAAACCTGCCTGTTCATCTCTTAGCTTTTTATCAATAGCATCCTAGTCTTTCCTTAATAACCCTACTTAATATTTTTTCCAGGAATTGACACCAACATAATTTCTCTATGGTATGGTTTTCACACTTTTGTAGATCATCTTTTGGGGAAGGGGGAGGGGGGGGGGGGGCGGTTTCACAAGTTATCCTCCTCTCTAGTCTGCTAGTATTTTTTGGGCCCTCCCCGACTTTACTAAATAATCTATGTAGAAATTATGTTCATGTGTTTATATTGGCCTTAATAACTTCTGCTGGGGTAACATCTGGACCCGCCTTTCCTAATTTCCTCTTTAAATGGTATCTCACAGTTAATATTTACACAGACGGTTCAGTGTTAAGAGGCAAAAGAAGTGCTTGGGGTTTCTTAGCAAAAGTTAATGGTCGGCGTTTGGTGCAGGAGAGCCTAGCATATGATACTACAACATCCGGCTTAAGAATGGAGATGGAGGCGGTCATTGCAGCTTTCCGCTGGTTAGAAAACACGACACACACACACACACATCGTGATTGTAACTGACTCAGAAAGCATGTTGAGGAAGATTAGGACAGGCATGCTTCGTGCAGAGTGGCATGCTTTACTATGGAGGACACGAGTAAGGAGTATTGTCTGGATTTTTTCACTGGGAAATGCCGGTGTGTTTGGAAATGAACAGGCGGACGGACTGGCTGGCTCTGCACAACTTGAAGGAATACTGATGAATGATAAGGCAGACGTGGTTATTGCCTTGTTGGAGAGCGTGTATAGTTCAAAGGAGCAGATGGATCACCACAGTCTGGTGAGATTGATGCAGCGGGGAGTGGTGAGAGGTTTTGGCAGATGCTCGAGGCTCAGAAAAGGCAAGATGGACATTTTATCAGAATGATACCGGCACCAATAGTATTGGAACTCTTCACTGGCCGCTGAAGATAGGGACAGAGCGCTTATAGGAATGTCCGAGTGCTGTGATGTCAGTTCTTGAATCAACTCAACTCACAGTTGATATTCAGTTCCATTTCTAAAGGCTGGATATCTGGAGGAACCTCTGGGGTTGTCTGTTTAGAAATATTTCAAGATATATCTAATCTTTAGTGTTAATGAGCACCTTTCCTTTACTATTTTTGATTGATCCAGTTGGTTGACTATATTTACCTTCTAATTTCCATGTTACTTAAAAAGTCTCTGACATTTCCTTTTGCTTCCGCTGTCTCTGCTTCTTGTGCTAGGTCATCTAAATATTTCCCTTTAACTGACCTTATTCGCTTCCTAATGTCTGTATCAGCTTTTGTGTATTTTTCCTCCTTTAGCTTTTTAGTTTTGCTATTAATTAAAGTATGCCTTTTTACTTTTCCTATCTTCAGTAAGTTTAATGGTTTCTGGTGTTATCCACGCTTTATGTTTCCTTTCTTTCTTGCCAAGAACTTCTACGCAAGATTCATTCCAGATTCCTTTGATCTGATCACAGCAGACCTCAGTGCTTACCTCTTCAGCTGGCTGCTGCAATACCTGGTACTTGTTAGAGTGTAATTGAAAACTGTTCCTTAACTTCTTTATAACTGAGATTTCCTACATTATACTGGTTTCTATGATTGTAAGATGTTATTATATATATATATAATTTCAACTTGGTTTTACTTGCCAGAAAACAGTCAGTGAATACATCGGCACCTCTAAAAGCCCCAACATCATAAAGGGATGATCTCAAATTTGTGTTTGCATATTTGAGATCTTTTGTGTATTCTTTTATTTATGTATTCTTATATTCTTTAAATTAATTGTTTTTTTTCTCTCCCCCAATGCTTGGGTGACAATGTACATCAACAATTCATTTGGGACATGAATGAAGCCATCTGGCAGAATATCCTACAAAATGACAAATGGTTCAAATGTCTGTCACCCAAAAGTTCAACTAAATGGTTGACTTGGTTCAAAATGTTCGACACCCAAATGTCTTGTGGTATATCAGCAAAGATGAAGTCCGGTGATGGGGTGCCGTAATCATCCGAACAGCCACCTCCCTAAGAACTACAGAGACTCAGAACTATACCAGGAGATTTGGGGTAGATATTTTCAATAGTTCATGATGGGATAACTTATACTGAACTTTTTGTTTCATTGCATCCTGGTTACACATTTTATTATCTCCTTTACTACCACTTATAAGGTCAAAATAAATATGAAAACACTGAAATAATGAACTCTTAAAGTTCAACGATAAATAACAACTCGGAGAGAAAAATACAGCACAAAACTCCCATATTTTTTTAAAAGTTAAAACTGTTAATGCGAGCAAAAGAGCAGTTCAGTATTTATAGTTAACTCTTTCAGTCCCAAGGAACGCATCATATGTTCCTACCCAGAACCCAAGAAACACACGTGCTGATTTCATGTCTCTGTATAATACTCCTTTGGCCTGTGATGCTAAACCCCCTCGGATTGAAAATATTAACGACTGTAAGAGTTAGTCATAATTTTCCATGGAATGAAGCCAATAAATTTAGTGAATGCTCTCCATGTAATGAAGTCAATAAATGTGGTTCCAGTTGCCTTCAGAATGAAGCCAACGATGACCTGTTGTCCCAGGTTAGCATATACTCTGAGATGCCCACTGCTTGATTTCAGTAGGGCAGCCTGGATACTTCTGTATGGCATCAAGTATCTGTGGACAAGTTCATTGCTGAGATTAGACAAAATACAAGAAATATACTGTTCAACACAAAGAAATGCATATTTATCTGATGGAAATTATACGGTTCAACACAAAGAAATGGATATTTATCTGATGGAAAATATACTGTCCAACAGAAAGAAACGCATATTTATCTGATGGAAAATATACTGTCCAACACAAAGAAATGCATATTTATCTGATGGAAAATATACTGTCCAACAGAAAGAAATGCATATTTATCTGATGGAAAATATACTGTCCAACACAAAGAAATGCATATTTATCTGATGGAAAATATACTGTTCAACACAAAGAAATGCATATTTATCTGATGAAAATATACTGTTCAACACAAAGAAATGCATATTTATCCGATGGCATATTCTTATTCACGGAGGGGAAAGCCTGTAGGCTAACAACTATTGAGGAACCAGATGCAACAAAACTGTCAACTGATTGGTTGAAACCTAATGTTAACTAGTCACCTTTTAGAACACGCTTGTAAGGAGGGCAGCGGGTCAATTTACCCGCCCCCCCCCCCCCCCCTCACCTCACAACTTCCCATCGAAATGGCTTTCTAGAACACACATGGGTAAGGTGACCACAATATCCTGAGATGAAACTGGAACATCCCACTTGAAGTTTGAGCTGAATATCTGAAGCAAGTCAGTTTACCCCTCCCCTCCCCCGGGGTTAACGAGTTAAATACTTGATCAACAACAGTATTAAAACCCGAACCATTGCGCTAAATAATAAATAGACAATATGCTTTTTAACTGCAATAAAAAAACATACTGCAAGAAAACTTCTCATCAACACATTTCAGGCATTAAAAGGAGCTAAAACTATGAGATATTATAAGATCTACACCCATGTGTGGGTTCCGGGGCCTCCATTGTGGGGAAAACAGGAATAGACCCACTGCCTCCCCAAAAGCATGTGGTAAGAGTCGACTAATTGGGGAGCTTCCTTTGAAGTCGGAGTGCATCTGCCGGAGAGGCAAGGAACCAACAGTCTGTATTCAAGAGAATGAGATCTGTAAAACTGATGCACACGCAACACTCAGGTTCTGGAGCAGGAATGCAGTTCAGTAGTGGACGAGCAACCAGAACTTTCCGCCAGAGTGTACAGCTGGTGAAGGCGAAGAAGAAGAAGAAGATAAGATCTACACTATTAACTAGAAGTCTACATTCTATTGGCTCTTGTAAAATACTGAAAGGAGGATCAGGGCACAGCTAAAAAGAAACGGGACTCTCCCTGTGAAAATGTATGGTCACACCAAACATCAAGAACATGCCAGAAAAACAAAGAACAAGAAAAAAATAGATGAGAGAAAAAGAGAAAGGTGGGTGGAAAATGATACAAAAAGGAAAGAGAAAGGAAGGGGAAGAGAGATGGAGTAGAGAATAGAAAGGAGAACAAGCATGGGGCATTGAGGCAGGGAAGTGGCACACAGAAGAAAGAAGGGGGAAAGAGACAGGCAGAGATGAAAAGAGAGGAGAGAGTATCACATGTTCCCCGTGTGGGATCTGGAGCCCCATTGTGGGGGAAAACAAGAATAGACCCACTGCCTACCAAAAAGCATGTCGTAAGAGTCGACTAATTGGTAGCTTCCTTTGAAGTCGGAGTGCATCTGCCTGAGAGGAAAGGAACCAAAAGTCTGCATTCAAGTGAATCAGATCTGTAAAACTGATGCACACTCAACACTCAGGTTCTGGAGCAGGACTGCAGTCCAGGTGTGGACGAACAACCAGAACTTTCCGCCAGAGTGTACAGCTGGTGAACGCGAAGAAGAAGAAAAAGTATCACATGTACATAGAGAGAAAGAGAAAGAGAGAGAGACAGAGAGAGCGTAACCTCTAAACTACAGGACCTACTTGTGAGGGATGAACAAGCAAAGACATCAACTTGTATTCTTTCTGAACTTGCGCTCCACCGCCTCCAGCATGGCTCTTGATCAACTCCAGGGTCTGAAGATGTTCGTATGCCTACAATTGTACACGTGAAATTGACTTGTTAATCTCTGATATCTGACAAAACCCATGTGTTACTGAGACCCTTAGCAGAGGAAAATAATACTATCACTGTAATCTTCCAAGCATGTCCTAAAAAGGCAACTAAAGAGAGTTGGTCTTAAGTTAGCATTTTCACCCTTAAAAAAACTATCCAGGAATAGAAAGAGGATAACTCTTCCAGGAACAGCACAATGGCTGATAACTTACCTCCATGTAAAAGTAATAGATCTTTTTCCAGTGCTTTCAGGTGTATTAGGCATATAGGGCCAGACCTATATTTTATAGAATAATCAGCACTCAGTGGGTGGTGCGGTCAGTATCACAATGGCCACCTCCACTTGAGTCCACGACTTTTTGATCCACGGCGAGTGTCTAGCCGCTACATCACCACGCTCTCTTACTTCTTTGTGCAAGCATTAAAAAAAAACAAAAAAACTGATAACACACTTTTGCACAAGTACAAATAAAATAAATCATTCAGCAGAACAGTACAAGGACAGATAACTTTCATCTATGCACCAGTACAAGGAATGTAACTCAACTTGAAGTATCAGAACAAGGAAGATAACTCTGATTCAGGAACCAAAACAAGAAAAGCAACTCACCTTCATTACCACAGGTTTCTCATAAACCTGCATGCCAGACCTTCTCTGGGCAAACTTCTGATACTCTGAAAACAGTACAGTAAATGTGTCACACTGCAGCATTATTATTTCCAAAATTCACACTAATACAAGGTCTGACAATTCAGTAATGAGACTGATTTTATTACGGCCAAGGCAAAAGTGCTATCTATGAAGCAAAGCATGGAATTCAAAGAGGCAACATTCATCTTTGATCCGACAACGTTGCATCGCCACCTGATAAGCAGACGACAAATAATCCGCCATTTTATTAGCTTAGTTAGATGTGCATTGTTACAAAATCAGCATGCAGCAAAAAGCTAAAATTAAATTCTGTTTAAAACTCAGAAAAAGCGCCATTGAGACAGTTGAAGTGATGCGATAAGTTTAGGGGATAATTGTTTATCTGGTGCACAATTTTCAAGTGGTATTCTCGATTCAAAAGTGGTGTAGAAATGATTAATAATGCAACTAGACCCGGACACCCAATTTCTGTTTATAATGATGAACTCATTGCAAAAGTCGCAGAGCGGATACACGAAGATCATTGTTTTACTGTCAGGATGATGGCAGATGAATCTGGTGTTACTAGAGAGACCCTTCGTAAAATTTTAGTGCAAGATTTTGGCAAGAAACAAGTTGCTTGCAGGTTTGTACCGCATTCGCTGTCTGATAATCAAAAACGTCAGCGGGTTGAGTACCCACGAGACATCATCAAAACAGGAATTTTTGGCCCCAAAGCAAGTGTGTGTTTTCAACCATCCACCCTATTCCTCAGATTTGTCTCCGTGTGATTATTTTCTATTCCCAAAATTAAAGTTACGCTTCTCTGACAATAATGATGACATCAAAAAGGCCGTAACATCGACTTTAAGGGCCATAGCAACAGAAGAACCACAGAGGTCGTTCCAGTGTTCGTTAAATCGTGCTACTTACTCTATCAATGCACAAGGAGCTTACTTTGAATAAAACACAGATTATATCTTCAACTGTTGATTACTTAAATTTTTATGTAATTAGTCTCATTACTTAATTGTCGGACCTTTTAGTATGAAATATTGCAAAAACAATTAAGATTAACTCTTTCTGTCTGAAACAGCGCATGTGTATCAGCTTTTTCCTAAATGTTTCCAAAGGTGCACAGTGTCAACTTCTTCTTTGTTCACTGGCTGTAAGCTCCATGGGAAAGTCCTGGTTGTTCATCCATTTAGACTTTGTGCCACAGCCTGAGTTTTGTGTGTACATCCGTTTTACTGGCTTACTTACTTGTGTGCAGTTGTTTGTTTCTTGCTGCTCGGGCAGATGTAACCCTGCCTTCGAAGGAAGCTTCCTGTTAGGCGACTCCTTTAACATGCTTGCTAGTGAGGACGTGGGTCTCTTCTTGCTTTTTCCACACAGGAAAAATTCTGGTTGTTCATCCACTTCTGGACTTTAGACTTATTCCAGAACTTTACAGATCTTGCATACAGTTCAAGGGTTGAATCCATGTGACAGCTCTGCAACACAGTACCCATGGAAATGGGTAGTACTTGGCCAGCAGAAACATCGCTATATCAACCTTACTTCAGCAGGTACAACTCCTTTTCAGAGCCTAGACAACCTAAACACTATTGCAGCCGTGGCAAAGTGGTCAAGCCCTTTGTCTCACACTGTGAAGGTAAAGGGTTCAACAAATGTAATTTTTACGGCAATCCTTGGGGATCATCGCTGGAGCTACAGAATTCATGTTTTGTGCAACATATATGGCAGGCAGCTAGCCCATCTGCAGAGAGAGAGAGAGACCGAGCCATACAGGATAAAACCCAGTGCAACGAAGTCAATCCTCTCGACTTTAAATTTAACTAATGCAGCAGACTTGAGAGTTACAATTTAAAGTAAAAACTAAATGGCTGTCCATCTATCTAACTTACCACTATAAACCATTTCAAAATTGAATGGTTCTCCATCATAGATATCCGTCAAGTGTTTCATGGCAATAATGAGGCACAATTCTAGAGTTGACACACCTGCAATATTGTATGCAATAATTGATGTTAAGTAATGACCAACCCTTAACATATCACATTAAAATAATAAACAAACAAACAAAATCACACAGCTGGCTCCGTACAACTTGATGGAATATTGATACATGATAAGGCAGACGTGATTAAGGCCTTAAAGAAGCACATGTACAATTTAGAACAGCAAAGTGATCACCACTGTCTGGTGAGAGTGATATAGTGGGGAGTGAGAGGAGATCTGGCCGATACTCGGTGCTCAGAGGATAGCCAAGAGGAACATATAATCAGACTGCTACTAGCATCACTGGTATTGGAACACTGTTTTTGCTGCTGAAGAGGGGGATAGAGTGCTTATGAGAGTACTTCTGAGTGCTATGATGTCGGTTATTGAATCAAATCAAACAAAAAACAATAATTGCATACAAAAAAGAGACTGAATAAGAGTAAATCATATGACAGACCAAGAAGAGAGTGGAGAGATATGACAGACCAAGAAGAGAGTGGAGAGATATGACAGACCTAGAAGAGAGTGGAGAGATATGACAGACCTAGAAGAGAGTGGAGAGATATGACAGACCTAGAAGAGAGTGGAGAGATATGACAGACCTAGAAGAGAGTGGAGAGATTATATACATGCAGACCTACAAACATTTTGTTGCACTAAATGGAAAGAGAAAGCCAATCGAAGAGATGAATGGAGGCGGATGATATTAGCAGCAAACGACTGCAATGCTGAACAAGAATGTGAGTGTCCAGAGGATCGTCATGTTGATTCTTAATTTAAAATTCAACAATTATTCTCACTTACCGTGTAACATAGCTGACTTTGTATCAGTAGAGATGAGTTTAAATGAGGTCACCACATCAGCGGCAGTGACTCTGGGATGTGCAGCATTCACTTGGCATATGGGATACGTCTGACGGAAGCAGGAAAACACCATTCATTATTACAGAAGAATTATCATATTATTTTATGAGGCGACTTCACATGAAAACCTTAAAATAGTGGCAGATATATTTACATTGTCATTATGACATCACTGTGTTTAACACTCTTGACATTCTTAACAACAATATTTGACAGGTTACAAGACAATGACCCGGTACATGTAATTTCTATCAAACTTGTAAGATTTTCATTTGAAGCCCCCTCGTAAGTTCACACTCAGACATCTACCTTAGTGACTCTAGTAAAAGCAGTAGTTAGTTTCAGGAATAGCTTTTCTCAAAACAGAACATAACATCCAAATTATGCAAAGAACGGTTCTTTATCAAGATGTACATATGGCAAACATCCCACAATGCAGAACATCTACAGCAGGGCTGGACATGAGATTTTGTGTGTGAAAAACCCAGCTTAGCTGAACAAAAACCCAAGTAATACATAGACAAAGAATAAAAAAAAAAAAAAAAAAAACCAGATTGTTAAAATGTACAAAATTTATATTTATGAAACGAAACATTTACCACTTTTATATAAGGATACATTTTTTAAAAACTCAGCATTGGCAGCCCTGATCCACAACACTGATTACAGGATAAAAAGGTCTATCCATGGCTTGAAATAACAGCAGATGCTAAACTTTATTAAATTATGCAAGACCTTCCGAAGACAGTGAAGTTCATATAGGGAACCAGACCTGTGGATATAGGCTGGTTCCAAACAAATGAAAAGAATACAAAGAAATATAACTGTTAAAAAAAAAAAAAAAAAAGCGAAAAACATAAGGATCAAACAAAATATTTACCAACAAAGTGATCAGGCCGCGAACATCATTAGTTAATGAGAATTGTCTTTCCAAGATGTCTTTGACTGACACTTCTCCAAGTAGGCACTGCAGGCAAAAAAAAATATTTAAATTAATATCCAGATGATCTATGAGTTGGTTACAGGGCCCCACTGAGGGGAAAACAAGAATAAACCAACTAGCATGTCATAAGAGTAGACTAACTGGGGGCTTCCTTCAAAGTCAGAGTAAATCTGCCTGATTCCATGCAACACACAAAGACTGGCTGAGATTAGGCCAAGGTCGCTTTTGTTTCTTTCACCAATGTTAGTCAACAGACTTCAACTCAATGCCCAATAGGGATCCTTCATAGATAAACTTCCAGGAAATGTCGAAATTTAACCAACATCCACATTATGAGGTGAGTAAACTGCAGACCCATTCTTCTTCTCTCTCTCATTCACTGGCTGTAAACTCTAACAGAAAAAATCTGGGTGTTTATCCACTTCTGAACTTTGGAATTCCAGGAAAATTTGACTAAAAAGCTTAACCAAATGGGAAAGCAGAAAAACGTGCACAAAACAACACAAATAATGAAACATTTTAACTGGGCAGCCTTTGTCAAAGATTAAGTAAACTACACAAAAATAACAACGAGAAGAGGAGAGTATACAGATCTCTAAGGGGTGACGTGAGCAACGTTTAAAAAATGTGATGTGGAATAAATGAAATAAAATTAAATAAACGATGGCTAAACAAATATAGTCGCAAAAAAATAAAAAGTAATATTTTCAATATATAATATAATAGTGGTAATAAAAGAAATACAAATGTTAATTATACACAAATGATACTGATAAGAGACAGAATGAAATAATAATATGAAATAAAAGAAAAGAAAATAATTAACATTTAAAAGGTGAATAGAGTAGAACTGTATAAATGAAGGTATGTTGGATATTGATACCACCTGGACTAAGAACGCCCAGGCTGTGGATGAGGTGATTTTCCAAAGCGAGGCGCGTAGTATGATCGCCAAAGCAAGATGCTGTGACAGATATATCATCTTTACCTCTGTGGTCAGAGCTGTTAAAATGGAGAGGGATTGGTTTAAGTGTCTTCTTGTCAATATTGGAGAGGTGTTCCCCTAAACGATCAACCAGCTTCCTGCCAGTTTCCCCAATGTATGCCTTGCTGCATCATCTGCAGATTACTGCATATATTACAGTCTTATCCCAGAACCTGAATTTTGCGAGCACATCCGTACAAACCTGACTTATTTGTATGGAGTTGGTTCCTCACTTCTCAGGCAGATGCACTCCGACTTTGCAGGAAACACTCCTAATTATTGGACTCTTATGACTTGCTTGTTAGGGGGGCGGTGGGTCTATAATTTTCCCCCACAATGAGGCTCAGGAACCCAGATGGGAAAGATCCATTGTGACTGGAACAATCCATACCACTGTTAACTGAGGTTAAACCACCATGCTAGTAAGCAATTTAATCAACTATTATGCCATTATAACTTGGGAATTACTCTTTCTAATATATAAACAGAACAGAGCAATGCAGTGCCTCATTATCTCAAAGCTGAAAAGGAAAAAGAGAAAGGAATTACAGAGAAGAGTGATAAAGATGGGGAGGATGAGGGGGCATGTTACTCACACTAGCAAAGGATAGTAGTGTGACTTGGCTGAAGGCCTACGCAAAAGGGGGGGGGGGGGGGGGGTTCAGAAAAGAAGCACTAGTCAAGATGTTAAAGTATCTCTATACCACATCATAAATGAACACATAGACTGCTCTAGAAGATGATTAAAATGTGCACATCTTAAACAGATCCAAACAACAGGGCAGCTTCAAATGAAATCCTCAAATGTGCTATATAAATTACAATAACCATGCCACTGTCTTGTAACCTGTCAATACTGTTAAGGTTGTCAAGAGTGTTTAAGCACAAGACACCATAGTGAGAATGAACACAGTGACATCATAATGACAGTTTAAAGATGGTCACCTCACTTCTCAAATGCTCCAAAGTAGCTGTGTTCTATTTTCTGTTATGACAGGTTAAAAATCACTGGCATGGTTACAGTAACTCAAATAAAACTTTTAAGATTTAGTTTTGAGACCCCATCGTATCTGTACACAATTTTGTGAATATGATAAAATACTGCAACCTGAATGTTTTTATTCCAAGTGTCCGCAAAATCCTGGTCTGGAAAATCTGAGCACAAAGTCAGATAGGACCTGCATAGGTCGCGATATTGGCTCAAGGTCAACTTGTTAAACAGATACAGTTGGCGGTGGGAAAACCGAGACTTCACCCTCTTCTCCAACAACTCTACCACATCCTGTTTCAACAAAGATAAAAGCTAGTTACATGTGGTCACAATGAAACTAAATCTGTTCTTATTCAGTTTTAAAGCAAGAAAATCACCACATATTAGATCAAATATTCTTCTTTGCATTCACCAGCTGTAAACTCCGGTGGAAAGTTCTAGTTGTTCGTTCACTTATCGATTGTAGTCCTGCTCCAGAACCTGTTTGTTGCATGCGCATCCATTTTAGAGATCTGACTTATTTGTATGCAGACTGCTGGTTCCTTGCCTCTAAGGCAGATGCAACTTCTAGTTTGAAGGAAGCTATTAACTAGTTGACGCTTACAATAAGCTTTTTTGGGTTGGCAGTGAATCTAGTCTTGTTTTCCCTGTAGTAGGGCCCCGGAGCACAAACAATGGAGATCAAATATTAATTCACTGTCATGTTGTGCCATCATGTCACATACTACATGACAGAAATGTTTGAACCTGTCTTAACTCTTTCAGTTACTAATAGTTTTTCAGAATATACACCAGGGAAAAAAATCTACTACGAAATACCACAAGTATATTATTTTTAATGAGTACAAGCTAATTTATCAATAGTGGCCATAGAGGAAGCAGTTTTTATTTAGCATTATCTTCACATATGAATATCTTTACTAAAAGAAGAAACCTTCCCCATTTATCTTGGAGTGACATTGAATAAAAGGCTCAAGTGGAGCAAACGTATAGAAAATGTAGAAGGGAAGGCCAGGAGACAACTAGGGCTACTTAGAAAACTGGCAGGTACAAGTAGATCTTCACAGATGTGCTATCGCTCTAAGCCCTCAAGAGTGGTAAACTCCCTCACTTCAGATCTGAACTTTGCAAGGTGGCTGCCCAAAAGTGTACTATACTCCAGTGGGTGCCATCCCACTGTGGTATACCAGGAAATGAAACTGCAGATAAACTCGCTGACAGGGGCAAAAATGTGAACAGGAAGAGAAGAAGGAAAAGGGTCGTCCAGTTCATCAGAAGTGAACAGAGATGACTGCCACTTACTTGGCCGGCATGGGCAGATAATTGACGTCCCAGGACAGGGCATAACAGACTTATCACGCATATGCACAAGCTTTGTCTAAGTAGTTCACCATTGTGCCCTTGTAGGCTGTGTGTGCAGGCTACTAGAATGTAACTTTTACAGCCTGTTTAGAAGGGAATACTTGCCCAAGAGTCAACACTGCACTCAAAGTTGTAGGGAACTCCTAAAAACAGTCAAGTTTTATCACAAGAACTTGTCTGTTGGTGTAAATCAGAAAGCGAACACAAGAAGATGAAAGCATTATTTAGACCAAATGTGAAAAGAAAGAGAACACAGAACATCACTCTGTGCATGAGATTCACAATAAACATTCCACAAGAAACCATTAGACACTTGACACTGAAAAATCTAACTACTTTTATTTACTGTGGCTTGCTTTTTTTACTGTTTAATGCCGGGTTAAGGAAACCCGGGTTCTGAGGGGATGGAAATTGTTTTCATTACAGCTCCCTGTGTGGTTTCCAGGTCCTCATTGGGGTTTGGAGAGGGGGAGGTGTGTGTGTGTGTGGAATAGACCCACTGCCCCCCTATAAAGCGTGTTGTAAAAATCAGCTAATCAGAGACGTTTCTTTCAAAATTGGAGTGCATCTGCCTGAAAGGTACGGAACCAACAGACTGCATACAAATAAGCCAGATTTGTAAAATGGATGTGCTTGCAAAACTCAGGAACAAGATCAAAGTTGGGAGAGCCAACAGCACTAGCCATGCGACCCTAAAGCTCAGGCACACCAGGTCAAAACTCCTATTACATTTTTGGAGACAGGGAGGTAGCCATGTGACCCTAAAGCTGTGTGCCCACCCGACCAACACAACAAAACCCTATCACAGCAGTTGTTGTAAACAATCAGCTAGCCATCTGACCCTAAAGCTCAGGCCCACCCAGACACAACAACAAAACCCTAACTTACATAGTTCATGGCAAACTGCCATGCGACCCTAAATAGACTCAGGAACCAACAGTCATCAAACCCTAACTTACATAGTTCATGGCAACAGCACTAGCCATCTGACCCTAAAGCTCAGACTCACCCAGACACAACAACAAAACCCTAACTTACATAGTTCATGGCAACAGCACTAGCCATGCGACCCTAAAGCTCAGACTCACCCAGACACAACAACAAAACCCTAACTTACATAGTTCATGGCAACAGCACTAGCCATCTGACTCAAAAGCCCACCCAGACACAGACTTAGAAAATGACAAATGCAGGCAGGAAAAACACTTAAAGAACCTACCAGTCTACATGTGACCCCTATAACACAGATTGGCGTCTGGGCAGACTGGGACACATCAAACAGGTTGTACAGCAGGGTCTGATTTTTGTGCTGAGCGAAGAGGTCAAATTCGTCAAGAATAAACACAATCGGCTTGCTGGCCTGGTCCCCTGTAAAATATCATACCAGATGATGGGAAAATACAAACTGGTGACTTTATACCACAATATTATGATAGACAGAACAAACATGACACATACATCATCATCATTATCATGACACAGCAATCATATGCCTTCACAACCAAGCCACTCTGACAGCCTTTTGTATTGTTTCTTCATTTTATCCAAATAAAGAATAAGCCTTCAACCAATTCAAGCCAGACCCTTTCCGTGTGGGTCCCAGGACCCCATTGTGGGGACAACAAGAATAGACCCACTGCCTCCCCAACAGGCATGTCGTAAGAGTCAACTAATTGGGTGTTTCCTTCCAAGTCGGAGTGCATCTGCCTGAGAGGCAAGAAACCAACAGTCTGCATACAAATATGCAAGATTTGTGAAACGGATGTACTTGCAAAAATCAAGTCCTGGAACAAAGCCAAAGTCCTAGATATGGACGAACAACCAGGTCTTTCCGCCAGGGTTTACAGCCGGTGAATGCAAACACCAGTTAGCCAGGCCCCCTCTATCATTTATCGTCTCCTGCAGTTCTTTTCCAAGCTCTTCTACCATTTACTGTCTCCTGCAGTTCTTTCCAAGCTCTTGTATCATTTATCGTCTCCTGCAGTTCTTTCCAAGCTCTTCTACCATTTACTGTCTCCTGCAGTTCTTTCCAAGCTCTTCTATCATTTATCGTCTCCTGCAGTTCTTTCCAAGCTCTTCTATCATTTACTGTCTCCTGCAGTTCTTTCCAAGCTCTTGTATCATTTATCGTCTCCTGCAGTTCTTTCCAAGCTCTTGTATCATTTATCGTCTCCTGCAGCTCTCTTTCCAAGCTCTTCTACCATTTACTGTCTCCTGCAGTTCTTTCCAAGCTCTTCTAACATTTACTGTCTCCTGCAGTTCTTTCCAAGCTCTTCTACCATTTACTGTCTCCTGCAGTTCTTTCCAAGCTCTTGTATCATTTATCGTCTCCTGCAGTTCTTTCCAAGCTCTTGTATCATTTATCGTCTCCTGCAGTTCTTTCCAAGCTCTTGTATCATTTTTCGTCTCCTGCAGTTCTTTCCAAGCTCTTCTGCCATTTACTGTCTCCTGCAGTTCTTTCCAAGCTCTTGTGTCATTTATCGTCTCCTGCAGCTCTTTCCAAGCCCTTACTATATCATCCTGGCAGTAATCTAGACTCTTTCCTCGAGGTTTGTGGTGAAATGTTTCTTTTAGTAGACTAGACTATCAATCAGTTGGACATTACTACTAGTTTTCTATGGAATAATGTTTTTATAACTAGTTTCCTGTCAACCCTAATGAATAGCCTCACATGACATGCATACTGGGCTACAACATTACTTATCCTTCTTTGCTTCCTTTTTTCCCTGTCTAGGTTCCAGGGTCCCAGTGTGGGGAAAACAAGAATAGACCACCCCCCCCTCCCCTCAACAAGCATATCATAGAAGTCAAGCATCCTTCGAAGTTGGAGTACATCTGCCTGAGAGAGACAACCATGAATCTGCATACAAATAAGCCAGATATGTGAAACGGATGTGCACACAACACTCAGGTTCTGGAACAGGACTAAAGTCTGGAGGTGGACGAAACACCCAGAACTTTCTGTCGGTGAAAGGGAAGAAGAAGCCTCTCATTGTAGGCCAGGGTAATGAGCAATGGTGTTATTTTGTGACGTAGAAAATGCACAGATTGAACTGAAATCACAATACATTCATATAATCTACAACCAGAATTGTGTCTCCAATACTTACCCTTTTTCAAAGCTTCTATTAAAAACTGCAGTGTTTCTGCGAACGATCTCTGTGAATAATACACAAAATAGTTTTAATTCACTCAAAACTAATCAATTTACTGCAGATATTTGGCTCTACAATTATCTTGGTTATCCGATACTGAAATTCTTTAGCAACCAAACTAATAAAATTAAACAAATGTAATATCTGAAATTACCACATTCACTAAAATATTCCCAGTTTATAATACAGAGGGTTGAACAGGATATTCTGCTACTTCAGCCCCCCCCTCCCCCAAATGCATGCACACAATATGACAATACAGATCTACAAAGACTGTTATCTTGCACACAATATGATAACACAGATCTACAAAGACTGTTATCTTGCACACAATACGACAATACAGATCTACAAAGACTGTTATCTTGCACACAATATGATAACACAGATCTACAAAGACTGTTATCTTGCACACAATATGACAATACAGATCTACAAAGACTGTTATCTTGCACACAATACGACAATATAGATCTACAAAGACTGTTATCTTGCACACAATACAGATCTACAAAGACTTATCTTGCACACAATATGACAATACAGATCTACAAAGACTGTTATCTTGAACACAATATGATAACACAGATCTACAAAGACTGTTATCTTGCACACAATATGATAACACAGATCTACAAAGACTGTTATCTTGCACACACTATGATAACACAGATCTACAAAGACTGTTATCTTGCACACAATACGACAATATAGATCTACAAAGACTTATCTTGCACACAATACGACAATATAGATCTACAAAGACTGTTATCTTGCACACAATATGACAATACAGATCTACAAAGACTGTTATCTTGAACACAATATGATAACACAGATCTACAAAGACTGTTATCTTGCACACAATATGATAACACAGATCTACAAAGACTGTTATCTTGCACACACTATGATAACACAGATCTACAAAGACTTATCTTGCACACAATACGACAATATAGATCTACAAAGACTTATCTTGCACACAATATTCTTCTTCTTCTTCTTCTTGTTCACCGGCTGTGAATTCCGGCGGTAAGTCGCGGTTGTTCGTCCAAAATGGACTTTTGGCTTTTACCTTGACCTGAGTTTTGCGTGTACATCCGTTTTACTGGCTTATTTGTTTGTAGTACTCGTTCCCCGCATCTCCGGCAGATGTACTCCGACTTCGGAGGAAGACGTCAAGCCTATTTCTAGGTTGACTGTGGCCATTGTTTTGTGTGGGTCGAGATGGTGCCTCATTTGTGTGGTGTCCTCTTTGACTTTTAACAGGTGTGGCCCCCGGCATGTCGTCCTTAAGGCAGCTCTATGTAGAGTTTTCAGCCCTCAAGGGAAGGCAGGGGCAGATCATGGGCATTCCCCGCCATCCAAGGAGGCTTCCATAAATGCAGAGCCGACACATGATGCTCTGGTTCTGGGCTCACCCAAGGAATCGTCACGTCCTGCCCATGACTTCTTAACCTCACAACCGTGTATTGAGCTTCCCGCGCTACAAGGCTGCACTCTTCGGAGATCAGCGGGGAGCAGCCCGCAGGTCTAGGACGTTTGTAGCCACACAAATAGGTACATTCTTTTTCATCTTACGTTAGACACCTTTAACGTTGTTTCAGCTATGCCCTTAGCACGACAGAATGGGGAAGCAAAATGCGTCAGGCGTGGCTTCACCTGTTTGGTCCCAACACTCGGGCGAGTTGGACCAGTGGATACGGACATTCGGACTTTTTCCTAATCGGTACGAATTATGATCGTCGGACTCTGAGCTTGCATATGTGCCGTGGGGTATAACTTTGTCGGACATTATTTCCAAGCCAGCATATGAAAAGTTGCTGCCGTGGTGTACCTCAACGCGGTGACGACGACACTGAGGATTGACAGAGGATGTACGTAGGTAGGATCTTGCTGCGACAAGAGATGTTACTCGTCTTGGCTGCGGGTAAATCTCTCGGTCAGGGTTGAGTCTCAGCAGCGAATTTTAAACCAAGAGTTGTCATTTGATGGTACATTAGCAAGCAATATTTGAGTTTTTTTGGTTTATTTTTTATTGTTAGACTTTTTCACCCATGCGTTGGGGGCGGGCTGGTGAAAGCCAGAAAGGACACTACACCTCTGGGGGCTGCCAGTTCCGAGATCCCCTGCCAACTCTGTTAATGCTCATTTGAGACATTATCCGTGGCGCACGACGGGGACGTGCAACAGGAGTCTTGCATGAGGTTCCGTAAAACCAGAACAGTGAAGGACTGGCGCCCGAGTGGGGTACGGAGTATCTCCTTATACACCTCACATCAGACTTAACTTTGCCTCATGCCTGTGACCGAAATCACCGCGCCACGCACACAATATGACAATACAGATCTACAAAGACTGTTATCTTGTACACAATAAGATAACACAGACGTACAAAGACTCTGTCCCCAACTGTGTTCTCTAGCTTGAGCTGTCTGGTGATCTCTCGTAAGGCCAGCTTGTCATCCGTCTGCAACAAACCTGTTGACCATACAAAAATATCAAGGTCTGCACTTCAGTAGGAAATCTCTTCTTCTTCACAATGACCAGCTTAAAACTCAGGCAGAAAATCCTGGTTGTTCACTTCTCTACTTTGGCCTTGTTCCAGGATGTCAGCTGTGTGTGCACATCCATTTCACAGCAGAGCTTATTTGTGTGCAGACTGTTGGTTCCTCACCTCTCAGGCAGATACACTCCGACTTCGAAGTAAACACCCAATCAATCACCTTTCACACCATGACCGTTAGGACGTCAGTGGGTCTTTTCTCATCCACCCCCCCCCCCCCCCCCCCCCCCCCAGCATTAGGTACACACACAGCAGGTCCCCATATCCCACAAAAAGTTTATGAAATATCAAAACTTTACATTAACTCGGTCAAGGACTTATTAAAGTGTGCGAAAGTTACCACTGGATCCCCAAATCAACATCTTTCTCATCACTGGCTGTACACTCAGACAGAAAGCTCTGGTTGTTCGTCTATTTATGGACTTAAGTCTTGTTCCAGAACTTGAGTTGTGAATGCGTGTCCATTTTACAGATCTGGTTTATTTATATGCAGACTGTTGGTTCCTTGCTTCTCAGGCAGATGCACTCCAACTTTGAAAAAAACATCAGCAGAGGATGTGCTACGTCATAACAATGAATGACACAACATCTTTGGTACTCAACTCTCAGGATGCATCACTTCTAACATGGTCACCAACAGGCGGTGTGCTCAAGGTCTTCACCAGTCCTCCAGTACCCTGCCCTGAAGGTTACTGGACCAGATTTCCTTGGTCCTGAAAAACCTGGGTATTCTTGCAGTATAGGCTGTTGTGCTTGGCTTATGCAAGTATACAAAACGAATTCAGTGAAAGTTGAAAGTATCCTCTGAGTTTATGGTCCTGTTCTATGTCTGAAAGTCTAGTCTCTAAACTAATTTGCCCTAATCACTCAGCTCTATCAGAAAAACTTAACACAGACAGCACTATACACTTTTACAAAATCATAACTACAACCACCCATGGCAAATGACGGCCGCCATCACCCACAATAACAAAATCATCACTATTACCCCACAACAACCATCATCCTCATCAGCAACCATCAGACCCTCTACGCCAACAAGCACCCCACATCAACTACCAAATTTCAACAGCAAAAATAACCACAAAATCACAACAAACCTGTCAACTGTACTAACTGAACATTCTCTTTAACTGCCACATCTGAATGCAAATCTTCCACAACCCTCTGTATTAGCTGTGAAATTTACCAAAAGATACAACAAATAAATGAATACAATTCCACTGGGGAACGAGAAGACAGAATGAATAACTTAAAGTATTCCTCTGACTGAACATTTTCAATGTCCTTACTCACACAGGACTACGGACATAACCAGGCTGGTGTTGTCATTATGGGTGCCCTAATTATAACCCCCTTTAGAGGTTGAATGGGGTATCTGAGATCTGCCCTGTCGGTCTGCCATCCAGACTGAGATTTTGTAGTTTCGAAGTGTTGCACCTTCAGGTATCAGCAAGGGCGGCACAAAAATGCATGCACGCAGTACTATCCTTATGTCGCGTGCGGATGTGCACTAGAACGCACCAGTACTGAGCGAGCAAATAAGACGTCAAAACAATAGGTAAGGTTGTGAAAGGAATTCAATGTTTACAGTCTGAAAGAGACAGACGTGTGGATCCTTGAGGATGCTTTATCCCGGGATGCCACTTAAGGAATGGTAATCAAAGTTGGATCCTTGAGGACGCTCTACCCCGGGACTCCACTACAAACCTCAGCAGAAAGCTGGAATATTGTCTACTACGCTCGGCAGTAAGCCGGTATACTTATACTACCTTGTTCAGACTGCAGAAGAGAAGAACGAGATGACTGTCCGGATTTCCAAGGTCGAACTGAGATCGATATAACTGTCCGGATTTCCAAGGTCGGACTGCGACCTGTAATTTGTTATGAAGTCAGTTGATGCCGAGCAGGCTCGTGTTGGTGTGTTTGGATGAGTCTTTATTAACTGCACATTTTCTCCTTCTGTTGATCATTGCTATTGTCAATACAACAATGGAACCTTTTAAGAGAGTTATCGTTCAACTACATTTGGAAGCCTTTAACCTTCATCATGTTCTGTTACACTTGGCCGGTGGCACTGTAATTGTTTGATGCCATTTGTTACACTAACGACGCCCTAATTCATCGTTGGTACGCCGCACATCAGTAAGAAGCCGCCGCACGTCACACCTTAGTTAACTCTAGTGAAAGCCAATATTTAGAGCCAGAAATAGGAAGTCAGGAGCTTTCAGAAACTCTTCTTCATCCTTGTTATAATTTTTAAAAGACAATATTTGCATTATTATTACATCAGTAATATAGTTTGAAAATTTTATGGAAAAAAACAACTGTAAACTTTATGTGACGACCAAAGGAGGGCAAAATCCAGCATCAAACATGGAGAAATCCCATGGTCTTTAGGGTTTCAATTGCCAACTAATGGCCAGATGAGTTGCATACATGTCACAGAAACAAAAACAAACTCAGTTTTCCGAGCTGAGTTGAGCCAAGAATAAACATCACAGCACTCAGGGCATTCCCATAAACGCTTCTCCCCCATCTTCAGCAGCCAGCACAGAGTTCCAAACCAATGGTGCAAGCGGCATTCTGATTATACGTCCATTTTACCTCCTCTCTGTGTCGAGTGTAGGTCAGATCATCTCGTTGCTCCCCGCTGTATTACTTTCACCAAACTGTGGTGATCCATTTGCTCCTCCGAATTGTACACGGTCTCCCAAAAAGCCCTAACCATGACTGCCTTATCATCATCAATATTCCGCCAAGCTGTGCCGAGCCATCCAGTCTTTTTGCCTATTCATTTCCCAACACATCAGCATACAGTGGAGAAAAGATCTAGTCAATGTTTCTCACCTGTTACCCCTGAAGCGAAGCTTGCCACTCTGCACGAAGCATGCCTTTCCTCACCTTCCTCAGCATTGTTTTCTGAGTCAGTTACAATCACAATGTTTCTTCACTGGTCTAATATTTTATTTTGGAACAGTCAACCCTCATTAACATGAACTGGCTTAAGGACACTCAGTTAACACAAACATTTTGGTCATGGCAGGCATGCATTATTTCTTGCAGAAAGTTTTACTGGTTAACATGAATTTATTACCAAAAACTACCAACAGATGTTTAGTCCATTGCGTCACCAGTTCTCATTTTCAAAGCTTTCATATTTTTCTGTTGTTCCTGTGCTAGGTATGTTAGAAATTAAGTCAAATTAAATTAACTTATTTGGGTGTTTGAACTAGGAGTTATTGTTATTTGGCATATATAAATATATAAACTGGTTTGTGGGCAGTAGTCCTAAATTTGCCTCACCATGTAATATTCCCAAAGACAATAGTAGTGCACTGTAGTTAACCTTTAGTGTGAAAGCAGTACAGAATTGTTTTGTGTTACAATACTGAAATTTGAATCTCTGGTTAGCAAGGATTTAGGTCCTGCCATCTCAGGAGTCTTTCATAAGTATATAACCGACATAATGATTCTGCAGTGCATAAAACTGTTTCCCTGTGGTGCACAGAAAGTTCTCCAATTAAAAAAAACTAAAAACTTGTAAAAATGAACCAGACAAAGAGAAAGATTCAAAGACAAGAAAGAAGACAAATCTCACCATAGATTTTCCACAGCCCCTGGGTCCTATCAACAGTAGAGAATTACTTTCTCCAGTTGTTGCAGTTCTTTTCATGAGATCATACAGCTGCCTGTGGGAGCAATGACATTATTAACCAATTATTTCATGTTCAGATTGTTTATTTGTATGCAGATTGTTAGTTGCTTGCCCCTCAGGCGTACAGGATGTATTTAAACTTTGAAGGAAACCCCAATCAGTCAACTTTTATGAAATGCTTGTTAGGGGGACACTGGGTTTACTCCCCCCCCCCTGCCCGCCAACAACAGGGTCTGGAAACTCACACAAGGAGTTTTTCTTTTGAAAATAACAGGTAGCTAACTGCCTTAATAATGGTACATTTTCAAAACTCTCTGTAATACAATAATTCTGAAACACATGCATGAACGTAACACATACAATTTATATGTGCATATATTTACGTATAAACAACTACTGTACATGCGATAGCTGTTTATAAAAAATAATAAAAATACACTCACTTCCGTTCTTTCTCATAGCCGCTGATGACGGGTGGTTTGTTGACTTGGGAAATTCTCAACCTCAGGATTCTCTGTGTCTCCTCCAGAGGATTAAAGTCTGGATCAACTAACGAAGGTTTCGCTGCCGATGGAGCAATCCTTTTCTTCGCTGGAGTCTTCTTTGGTGAGCTGATTCCTAGTTTGTGTTTTCTAGGAGAGGCGATTCTCGACTCCAATAATGATGGAGACAGTGCAATCTGCGAGTTAAACTTGGAAGGAGTTGCAATTGTTCTTTTAGTTGGGGTCAGATTACTCCTGCGATCATGAGATGTGATTTCTGAAACTTTGACATGGTTTCTCAAAGAGTTTGCATCCTCTTGATGATTATTTTTAACCATTTTGTAACTAGATGAAAAGAAAGTGTATAAATGATTTTTAAAATGTTTAACTTAAAAAAAAGGAAACAAAAATAAATAAAAGATGAACAAAAAAAGCAGTTATTTTGACTCTATCTTGAGCAGCGAAACATGTTGTGTCACTAGCTACTCATCATATGTGCCCACTCAAAACATCTTATTATCTTTAAGTCGTGTCAGTTAGCTTCTTTCCAGATGCTAGTTTTCCACCATGCCATGGAGATGGCGAGCATGACTAGCAAAACACCTCATGTTAAGAACCTGCCACAGCAAGAGCAATAGATTTGGGGACCAGTGTTACCATCATACATAGTTGACCTGTTTTTTCTCAGACACTCAGCTCTCCACCTGTTTGTAATTCTCTTCTCCTTTGTCCTAAGTCCCTTTCAAATATCCACCTCCAGGCAACTTGATATATATCGCATTCCTTTCCATTAATCCACCGTAATACCTGGATCCTTCATGTCCCGCTTACGCAGATCATCTAGTGAGCACCGGAAGTTCAAAATTCTGCGGCGGCGGTATAGTCCCTGGAAGTATGCAATTGACATGTGACTGAAGCCCATTAGGGTATATTTTCTGCCTCGATAATTTGGGACCGTTATTCAGAAGATAGCCCACTTAGTAATACAGTAATTAAAAAGTTTACTATCCTCCGAATAGCGGGCACAAAAGATGGCGGCTGCAAAAACACCCTCAGTCACGTGTAAAATGCGCACTTCAGGCGACTTAATTTGCGGTTTTCCGGCGACTACCGTCACCGCCGAGAGTAACCCCCATGCCGCTTGGATTGGGGCTAAACTAGATGAAGTAGATGGCTGGGACTCACAAGCAGCAGCTTCCGCAACTCCTGCAGCTTTTCTCGTGAGTTTTTGGCCGCTATCTTTTGTGCCCGTTATTAGGAGGATAGCCAAAAAGTTACTAGACTAGTAGTTAGTTAGTTTTGAGTAGTTACTCTGTTTGTTGTTGTCTTTCAACACAAAAAGGAAAAAGTTTCATGGTAATTATTTGATCTCAGCAGCCAGTTCGTTTTCAAAAGGCCAATTTCGCTCCCTCTTACCATTTATAACTATAATCTGTAATTAATCCAATCAATAGATGGTGTTCTCTATTAGTTGACTTTTAACATTTTAACCATTCTCCCGCGTCTGCTCGTAGCCTGCAAACAGCAACCAGGGGCGGTCACTCTGCGCAACTGATTTCATTTTTTTTAAAAACGGAACATAATTTGACGGTACACAATATTAACTATTTACTTCTGGAAGAAAGGCAGAGGAAGACCAAAGAGAATATGGGTGCAGGATGTAGCGGATGACCTCTAGATAGGTGTATTGGATGCGGAACATCTTGCTTGTGACCGAGAAGTTTTCCGTAGGGTTATTATGAGAGCAAGGTTCTGCAAAGAACATGTAGTTACTGACTGACTGAGTGAATGACATATGAGAGCCAATAATAATAAACATATGACAACCTACCTTACCGACAGGGGCGTAGCTATAGTATAGCAAGTAGGGAAGATGCCCCGGGTGTCGCTTGAAGGGTGTGGGGGCGTCAGAACACTCTTTTCAAAGTGGTAGCGTCACATCTGGAGTGTCCACAGTCAGTTCTAAATCTTCTGGGGTCGTTACAAGCGGTCACATCGTATGGTACAGAGCACGCGTTATCGCCGGTGCGAGAATCGAAGACAATTGCTTGTGAACGGTCAGCAAACATGAATGAACGGCCAATCCCGGTGAGTATGGGCCACACCGTTAGCTGTACCGAAAATATAATTAGGGACGCCACGGCAGTGAAGTAGCTAGCACGCTTGTGTGCTGGTTCAGTGCTCGACTTGGGTTCAAATCAATGTCAGGGCGGATTTTAAAAATTGATCTGGCTTCCAAGACGACCCATATGTATCCGGAAATGTCATGGGAGTTAATTGGGGCTAGCGAGATGTTCATCACATCATCCGGGGCGGCGCCCCCCCCCGCCCCCCAAAAAAGGATGTGTGCCGATTACCACGACAGGCCCGACCCTGAACAGAAGTGATGTCATTAATGCCAAGCGAAATGTGTTTTGCTAAGAAGATAACGACAAAAAAGTAGGACTCATTATCCCTGTCTAAGTTGGTGGACACTATGATATAAACTGGGACAACCAAACATTAAAATCTCATCAAAAGCACAAGACTTTTAGTTATTCAACACAGAATGGGTATGCTACATCGTTTTAATCTTGTGAAGCTATTGAGGGGGAGATCGGAGCACCTATGGACCTGTCTGGAGTGCTATGCTGACAGTCATCACTAATAATTAAATGCATGAAGTCAGCTCAAGACTGGTATTATTTGCATCGACCCTGGCTGTTGAAGACACAGACGAAGCCCTTACGGGGATGTCTGAAATTCCATCATGATGGTTGTTAACTCAACTCATATCATATCACTTACTTACCCTTGTGGGTTCCGGGTCCCTGTTATAGGGAAAACAAGAATAGACCCACTGCCCAAAAGCATGTCCTATGAGTCCACTAATTAGGAACTTCCTTCAAAGTCGGAGTGGATTTGCATGAGAGGCAAGAAACCAGCAGTTTGCATACAAATGTTAGAGCTGTAAAGCGGCTGCACACGCAACACGTAGGTTCTGGAACAGGACTGCAGTCCAGCAGTGGATGAACAGCCAGAACTTTCCGCCAGAGTTTACAGCTGGTGAACACGAAGAAGAAGAAGAAGAAGATATCACTAAACACCAATTGTCTATAAAAATATAGCACATGAACCTTGGCGCTGATGTCGCGAGAAAAGCCGTTAGAATTGTATTGGTATAATCGGTGCTACTGTAGTTCTTTTTAGAAGATTGGTGTCCCGTGATGACCTAGTTGAGTTAAGAAATCACATCATAGTACTCGGGGCATTTCCATACGCGCTTCGTCCCAATCCCCAAAGCCAGCACAGAGTTCCAATAATAATGGTGCCAGTCGTAGTCTGGTTGTAAGCTCGTCTTGTCTTTCCTCTGAGCGTAGTGTGCCGGCCGAACCCTCTGGTCACACCACCCAGGTGCATCATTCTCTCCAACCCATAATAATCTAGTTTCTCTCCTGACTTCGTTACTTGTTCCCAAAGAGCTCTGACCACATCTGCTTTGTCATGCATCAATTCACCATCCAGCGGTGCAGATCCAGCCAGTCTGTCTGTCTATGTTCATTTGCCAACACGCCGGCATAACCCGGAGAAAAGATCAAAAGTATGCCCCCTACCGGTGACCTTGCGAATGAAGCTTGCCACTTTTCTCGAAACAATCCTGTCTTCACCTTTTTCAGCATGCCTTCTGACCCAGATAGTCAACACACCATCCCTTCGGATCCCCTTCCCAGAAAATGTCACAGCGTGTATGCGGGCAACCAACCAGTTTTTTGTTGGTTTGTTAACTCTCTTTTAGCCTTCGGCATGCTGTGCTTGTCTGATCGCAGTCCTTTTCACTTGTTCGCCTAGCAGTCTGATCATAGCAGCAGACTCACGGCGATGAGCTGATTGGTCCTCGTCCCTCGTTTGGTTTCCGAGGCCCTATTTTGGATAAAGAAAGAATAAACCCAGGGCCTCTCCACAAGCAGGTCGTAAAAGGCTACTTATTAGGGGTGCTTCCCTAGAAGTGGGAGTGCTTCTGCCTGAGAAGCAAGGAACCAATAATTTGCGTAAAAATAAGCCAAAACTGTAAAACGGATGTGCACGCAAATCTCAAGTTCTAGAACAAAACCAAAGATCAGAAATATACGAACCAGAACCAGAGTTTACAGTCAGTGAACACTGTGAGTCTGAGATTTGTTTCTGTAGAAGGCAAAACTAAAATGCTAACCCACACAGTCCGTGGCAACAACACTAGCCATGCGCACCTAAATCCTCCCTTCTCCCACCTACACAGCAAAAGTTGGTAAATTCAGGCAGAACGCTTAAGAACAACACTTGGTTTTCACCAAGCCTTTCATCAGGACTCATAGAGCATTCAGTACATAGGCCTGATCCAATACTCGTCTAAGCAATACAGTAGCTGTACCTGCAAGCTTATCAGTCTGTTAATTTCCTCTCACACCTGCACATCCTGGCATGAAAATAAAACTGATCTTAGCCACGACCACCTCAAAGGATCGAATCACTGTCATCGAGCCCAGCCCATCTCTGACTGCAGTCCTTAAACAGCTAAGACCTCTTGTCACAATGATCACCTTTTGTAATTTGTGATTGTGTGTATATTTGTTGGTGGGGTGGAAGGAGTCATTGTGTGTGCTGCTGGCTAGTTCAACTTTCTGCTATGGCTTATTTTTGCTTCCATCTTTATAAAAATTAGGAGTGCTTGGCACAGGAAAAAAAAAGTTTTATACTGATTCAGTAAGAGGGGGAATTATTAATGTCCTTCACTACATCCCAGTAGAAAAGTGAATAAAGAAATGCAATATGACAGTGGGTGCCACAGGCAGAAGAACAGCATACCAACAGCAATTGGGATCACTTGCGAATGCCTTATATGTCAGTAGCGATATTAAGAGGATATTCTTACTTACTTAGTTGCTCCTCTTCTACCTTGGGGTGAGGATATGAACTACATTAATTAATTAGGAAGTCAGGACACATTTCCAACATTGGTCACACAATCTTCTAAATCTCTGCGTGCGGGTCTGTAACTTACTCTCTGCATTCACCGGCTGTAAACTCTGGCAGAAAGTTCTGGTTCATCCACTTTGTAAATATCACTCATTTTCATGCAGCTGTGCACTCCGAATTTGAAGAAAGCTCCCAATTAGTCGACTCTTACAACATGCTTTTGGATAGGCAGTGGATCTGTTCTTGTTTTTCCTACAAAAGGGCCACGGAACTCACATGGCTAATTGTTTTAAAAGAAAATTGTTTTCAAAATATTTACTTTTTGTCTGCTAGTGTTGTGCTATTGTTTGTTTCCTCTCTGAATTGCTAGTCCAATCTCATTCTGACTCCTTTTAAATAATCTTGTTAACTCCCTGTGTAGGATCCGGGGCCCCATTATGGAGAAACAAAGAATAGACCCACTGCCTCCCAAACAATCATTTTGTAGAAGAATAACTAGGGACTTCCTTCGAAGTGGTAGTGCATCTACCCAAGTGGGAAGGGAACAACCAAGTGCACAAAAATTAACCTGTAAAACGGATGTACATGCAAAACTCAGGCCATGCACAAAACCAAAGTGCAGATGGACAAACAGCCAGGACTTTTCACTGGAGCTTACAGCCAGCGAACAGAGAAGAAGAAGTCTTGTTAACTATAGACAAGAGTTCCTGACATTTTGAATTTCTTCATTGCTGATTAAACTTTGTGACTGACATTTGGTTTCACTGAGGTGACGGTAGCCTTTGAAAATCAAGCAAAATCATCTGTAGATCTAGTTGCTCAATCACTTTACACAATTGCTCACAACTCAAAACAAACTTCTGCTCTTCTACAATATTTCTGCTATTACAAAATTGTAGGAAATTAACAAATACTATATATTACAATATTTTATTTAGATAAAAAGTCATAGTAACAATGGAATGAACAACATAGGTAATATGCATACACATGTAAATATGATATGTCTTTGTTCATACCCACAATTAAAACCTTGTCCCAGCTGCAGGAATCGACTACTGGCAATTAAATTAGTCTGAAATAACCCAGGATGACCAAAGTTAACTTTCGTTAAGTTTCCAGTTTATTTTATTTCGAAGGCTTCAAACTTAAAACCTATACTTGTTTATATCCTCGTGTAGGTTCCTTTGTTCCACTGTACGGACATGAATTAGGAGCTTCCTTCGAAGTTGGAGTGCATCTGCCTGAGAGGCACGAAACCAACAGTCTGCACAAACATGAGTCAGTTCTCTAAAATGGATGTGCATACAACATTCAGGTTCTGGAATAGGACTGGAGTCCAGAAGTGGACGAACAACCAGAACTTTCTGCCAGCCTTTACAGCCAGTCAATACAAAGAAGATGTACTTGTTTATAAAAGAACACATAAAAATAAATAGAATTTTAAATTCAAAGGAATTCTGGGTATTAATTCCTTCTATAACTGTCAGACTAAGAAGCGATACTATTGTACAGAATGTGGGGAAAACAGCTTGTGTGAAATACAGAAGGAAAAATTTAATCTTGTTAGAATGCAGCAACAATAATTACTAACAGGCGCCCCACGTCTTACAAGATCTGATATAATAGCAGACAAGAAGATAAACTGTATTAAAAATATCGTTGAAGACATGACGTCAATAGTTAATTCCGCTCATCGAGTGCCGGGCGATTACATTTTGCCCTCACACAATGTTTGACTGCAAATTTGGAAAATAATGATGATTCCTTCTTCATAACCCACAGGATCATGGAATCATCATAGGAACTGTTCTCACAAATTGATATCTCTTGCCAACATTTCAGGTTTTTTATACCCATTCTAAATTTGCATATTCCAGAGAGTTCAAGCAAACATCATCATCAACATCAGGTGCCTTGCCGAGTGGCGTGGGCGATCATGCCTCTCCACAATCTGCGACTCCTGCAGCATGTATCAGTTCGTGTGCCGACACACCTCCATGCCATGCAACAAACTGTCAAGAATCTTCTCTCGTGGTCTTCCTCTATCCATCCTTCCACAGATCTTTCCAGTGGTCACAACATGTTTCATTTCCCTCTTCTCATAACATGGCCCAAAAATGATGATTGTTCCCTTCCGATGTCTGTGATAAGCGTTGATAGTGTTGGCAAAATAGATGATGTTGACCATAACGTTGTAGTTTGCATATTTTTAATTATAGATCTTTTCTTGTTGCAGAGCCTCATAAAGTATCCGACAATTATCTATGTGCTTTCATTAGACAGACGCTTCTGCACTTTATCCTATGATGGAATACTGGACCAATATGGTTATCGTTATTTCAAGGATTTGTCCGAAGCATCTTATCTCAATTTTCTTTCTAGTTCAGCATTAATAATTATAAAGTCATAAAAATGGGATTAAAAAAAAACAAATAACTCTACAGAGATTAACAGAGAAGAATTAGCTTGAAAATGTGGCAAGAACACTTATCTAGTAAACTGACAAATACACTACCTAAAAGTGGAATGAAGGTAAGTCACATACGATTTGTGGAAAGTTATTTGGTGAATGGATTACAAGAGGTTGTCACAGCTAGATGTGTGATCATTACTTATTACTTGTAGTTATCCTGAAGTAATGTCAACAGTCACTTAACACATGAGAAAATACTGGCAGAGGGACTCACCATAATAAATGAAATGAAAATAACTGATGGGAACATCCATGAAGGAGTCTCTGATAGATGATTACTTCCAAGGAATATGAAAAAAAAAAAAAAAAAAACAGGCTGACTTACAGAAAAATTATGAGCAGTAAAAAGTATATTAGAAAAGAACTTGACATCTTATTTAAGACAAGTCTATTAAGAGTATTTGTTAATACTCAGAAAAAGGATAGAAATATGTGTTGACAAAATTAACATTTACAAAAGTGTTCAAAACATACTGTAGCTTTAATGACATTTTGAAACATGTGATATGCATAACAAAATATTTTCTTATTTAATATACTTAAATTTTGCACACATTCATACATCTAACAAAATCTTGGTAGCATAGCATAATTTCTCAACATACTATCTTTTATTTACACGTTTGGAAAACATAGGAGACTTTCATGATTTAGGAATATCTAAAAGAAACAAACAAAGAGAATAGATGTGACTCAGCCACACAAAAAAAAAAAAAAGTGAGATGTCTTAATTGAGTTAAGAGACATCAACACCAACAGGGGTAAAGCTGATATAATTCAAAAGCAGTAAAACGGCACTTACAAATAGTCACTCAACTTGAACCCGAAAGGCCGTTGAGTTCAAATCCACACCAAGCTGTATTTAAAAAAAAAAATTATCTCGGCTTCCAGGTCAACCCAGCTTAAAGTGGATACCAGGCAAAGTCTTGGGAAGTAAACGTGGCCGGCGTGATGGTGACCACGTCACCCACTGAGTGCTAATATGTCTACAGAATATGGATCTAGCATTATATGCCCAATAGACTCATGGTGTGGAAAAGGGCCCTTTGCTTGAACAGACATAGACTCATGGTGTGGGAAAGGGCCCTTTGCTTGAACAGACATAGACTCATAGTGTGGGAAAGGGCCCTTTGCTTGAACAGACATAGACTCATGGTGTGGAAAAGGGCCCTTTGCTTGAACAGATATAGACTCATGGTGTGGAAAAGGGCCCTTTGCTTGAACAGACATAGACTCATGGTGTGGAAAAGGGCCCTTTGCTTGAACAGACATAGACTCATGGTGTGGAAAAGGGCCCTTTGCTTGAACAGACATAGACTCATGGTGTGGAAAAGGGCCCTTTGCTTGAACAGATATAGACTCATGGTGTGGAAAAGGGCCCTTTGCTTGAACAGACATAGACTCATGGTGTGGAAAAGGGCCCTTTGCTTGAACAGACATAGACTCATGGTGTTGAAAAGGGCCCTTTGCTTGAACAGATATAGACTCATGGTGTGGAAAGGGCCCTTTGCTTGAACAGACATAGACTCATGGTGTGGAAAAGGGCCCTTTGCTTGAACAGATATAGACTCATGGTGTGGAAAAGGGCCCTTTGCTTGAACAGATATAGACTCATGGTGTGGAAAAGGGCCCTTTGCTTGAACAGACATAGACTCATAGTGTGGAAAAGGGCCCTTTGCTTGAACAGACATAGACTCATGGTGTGGAAAAGGGCCCTTTGCTTGAACAGACATAGACTCATGGTGTGGAAAAGGGCCCTTTACTTGAACAGACATAGACTCATGGTGTGGAAAAGGGCCCTTTGCTTGAACAGATATAGACTCATGGTGTGGAAAAGGGCCCTTTGCTTGAACAGACATAGACTCATGGTGTGGAAAAGGGCCCTTTGCTTGAACAGACATAGACTCATGGTGTGGAAAAGGGCCCTTTGCTTGAACAGACATAGACTCATGGTGTGGAAAAGGGCCCTTTGCTTGAACAGATATAGCAGAAAACAAAACAGCACTAACTGGGAGACCATGTGGTTCCAAGAGACTGTCATAACCAAAGGTTTAATGGGGATCAATAGTAAATATTCACCACAAGTATGCAGTCAAGTTCCTCTTACAGCTATGTCAGTTTCAAAACCCAAAAGTAAACATTAACTTCATATAAACAATATTTTAGGGACAAAACAATGTAGGAAAAAGAAATGTTTTTTTTTAAAGAAGATGTGACAAATGTTGCAGTCATTACATTACATACCAGTTTTATGCTTCATAAGTCTTTATTTACATTCATTATATTTTATGTAATAACAATCTTATCTAAACAACTGATAAATTTCAACCAATCAGAACCTCACAAAAAACATGAATAGCAAGCATGCCCATTCGTTTATCAGCAGAAACAGCCAGAAACAAAAAGTTTACCAAGCAGACATGAAATTCTTTCAAAATTCTCATACTAATAAACAATCTGCCACTAACGCACCCTCTCACATCATACATACTAGAACACATACAAGCTCTACATGAAATATTCATAACTTTTGGGCATGTTGGGCAAGCCAGTCTGGTTATACACAACAGCACTATCTGGGTTGTCTGCATACTCTGCTCCTTTGGCTTCCTCTGTCTCATAATCAGCTCCCTCAAGTCTGTCCTTGCAGCAGAAGAGGATGATACAGACCACCAAAATGATGAACAGTGCGCAACCAACTACGGATAAAAAAAAAAAAAAAAAGATACAGGTCGTGTCACAAGATATCGTAGGTGCATAAAATAAAATATCTTGTAAGTGAAGAGTGGGTATTCACAAAATAGAAGCCGATATAATACTTTCTGATGCACAGTGGATACTGTAGAAATTAATCATAATTATCCCTCTATGGGTTCAAGGCCAGGGCTCCATTCTGGAGAATAAGAATAGGACCCCCCCCCCCCCCCCATATGTTGTGGGAGGTGAGGTGACTAATTAGAGTAGTGCCCTTTAAAGTTGGAGTGTATCTGCATTAGAGACTAGAAACAACGGTCTGAATACAAATAAGCCAGAGCTGTAAAATGGATGTGCAAAAACAAAACTCCAAGTTCTGAAACAAGACCAAAGTCCAGGAGTGGATGAACAACTTGAACTTTCTGCCAGAGTTTACAGCTGGTGACAGCTATGAAGAAGCACAAACTAAAAGAAAAAACAACAACACGACTATGTGGATGTCTGTAGGCCTGAGCCTGTGTAGTTTACAAAAAAATCCCAACTGTAATCTAAAAAAATTCAAATCTCGCCATCACTGCCAGGTGCCCTGCTGATAAAAATAGGTGGCCCTGTTTTGCCATCTCACATGATCACTAGAATAAAGGATCAGGTCAGTTATCTTGTCAACATGAGTATTCTTGGCACCCTGAATGTTTTGCCATTGCTTCCCTTCTTGGCAGTGACCATACTGGTCAGGTCTTCTTCTTTACATTCACCAGCTGTAAACTCCAGCACAAAGTTCAATTTGTACATCCACTTCTGGACTTTAGTCTTGTTCCAGAACCCGAGTTTTGTATGTACAAATCTATATTACAGATCTATTTTATAGATCTGCCCTTTTTTTTATGCAGACTGTTGGTTCCTCGCCTATCAGGCAGATGCACTCCAACTTAGAAGGAAACCTCCCTAATTAGAAGACTCATATGACATGCTTGTTGGGGGCAGTGGGTCTATTCCATTTCCTTCCACAACAGGACCCTGAAACTCACACAGGGAACTGGTCAGGTGACTACAGCATTGTCACTCTTGTGCAATCCTTTGTCCATCATCTGGAAAACTTGAAACAAATAAATTCTAAACTAAGTAAAAAGAATGTTTACTGTAGAAAATATTAATAAACCAATTGCACTTTGTTTGACAACTAACCTCCAACCAAAGCTTTCTCCTCGTCTGAAAGGGGTGGGTCCGTCACTCTCCGGTAGGTCACATTCTGTAACACTCCAGTGAATGGTCTGCTCCTGATTGGCTCCGGGGACACTGTGATCTCTTCAAATCCACACATGTCTTCTCTGACCTGCAATAGATAAAGTGTGTTTACCAATGTCATGATCATGAATATCCGATTACACTCCAGCCAAATGTTTCTTCAAGTTCACAGCTGTACACTCAGACGGAACATTCTGGTTATTTGTCCACTTCTGGACTCAAGTCTTGTTCCAGAACGTGTGTTCTGCATGCATATCCATTTGATAGATCTGGCTTATTTGTATGCAGACTGTTGGTTCCTCATCTCCCAGCCAGATGCACTTCGACTTTAAAGGACACAACCGTAATAAGTTTTCTGGGATGCTTTTTAAGAGGGCAGTGGGCCTACATTTCTAATTATTCATACTAAAAGAGGCCAAAAGTGCCAGACTGGATTCCTTCCATGATATGGAAAGGACAGAACAGGATCGAACAAAATGGATGATGAATGCAAGCCTTACATTTTCTTCTTTGCGTTCAGTTTCATAAGCTCAGATAAGACCATCAGGAGAGTAGCCCCTATGAACTTGCATGTCAGCAGCAGGTCCTTCATGGTTGGTTGCTCATAGCTATCTCTGCATACTTTGCTCTTGAGGCTAGGTGTCTTTTCAAAGTTGCAGGTAGAGTGGGCATCTTTACCTGGTTAAAGCTTTGAGGCAGGTGGGACTGCACTTGGTTCTCTGTAGCCTTTGCAAAGCCAGTTTGTTCATTTCCAGAAATACCACAGTGGGTCAGCAAGCAAACACAATGGTGACATTCTTCACATCTTCTTCTGCTCTTTACCCCTCTAAAGCAGTGAGTGGTCTTAAAACTAGGGGATGCAAGGAGGTTTCAAACTGGACATTGGGCAATTTTGAAAGTGAGTAGTTCATTCGTACTTGTAAAAATCTGTTATGCTTATGTTTTACTTTAATAATGAATACCGTATTTTGTTTTTTAGAACCCTTTATTAAACAGAACGATTTGGACATTTTTGTTTTTTATGAGCAGTTTGTACATCTACCCTAAACAACCAAATTACTACAAAAACATGCTTACTGAATTATAGATTAAGAACACTTTCTGATCAAAGCCTATCTCCATTCTTTCTGTTTCCTTGTTGCGGAATCTATTCTCTTCTTCTTTGTAATCACGTTTTATTGTGTTTGGGAGGGAAGATCTTGCCATATACTTAAAAGAGGGGGGAGGGGCGGTCTTGCCACATACTCAAGGGGTCAAGAGGGAGCCTTGCCAGATACTCACGGGGGGCGTGGGGTTCTTGCACACCCCTATCAACCAAACTGTGCCAAGGTCTCCTTCCCTTTGCTACTGCGATCAACTCAACCCACAGCCGCTTTAACATGTTCTTCACTACTCTGTGCAACAAGAGTTAATGAATACCCAAAAATGAACCTTGCAGTGATTGAACTACACCTACCTTATCCGCTGGTATAAGTTCCAAATATGGGGGTCTTGGATCCTGGAAAGCTCTTTTCAGGGGGAAAATGTTATCCACCTGCATGCGGAAAATGCAGCCTTCAAACCCTCGGTTGGCGTTGGATGTGTCTGGAAAGTGTTATAAGGCATTTATGTTAATGAGAAGCCAGCAGAAAATCTGTCAATTAAAATGTGTCAGGGCTACTCTTCTGAACTGATGTGAAAGTTGCAGAGGAAATGCCTCATAATATAACCCCACTGCAATCAATATAGAAATTTGTATTGCACAAATCTAAAGTTCTTAATTTGAAAAAATAAATTTATTTGTAATGAAACATTTGATGATTCTATAATTGCAGAAGGGAAAATTAAACATAAGGAATCATAATAATTTCTGTATGAGCTAAAGAAAACCAGAGCAAATATGACATTTAGGGATAAATTTTAATATCGATTATAAAATATTGAATACAAAGATATCCTTGTATTAATGAAATCTAATCTTGAAAAAAAAAAAAAAAAAAACCTCATAATTTAACTGAATGAAATACTTGCCATTGTTGCCAATAAAAAGATATTTTGGGTTGTCTAAAATGGTGTCAGAAGCTTTACTGGCATCACCAAAAGTTCCAGTGCCTGGTTCATAGTTGTCAACCTAAAAGTGATAGATATATAGATATATAAAAGAAGGTATCAAGGCATACCATTATAACACTGTTTTGTCATAATACCATTATGTTTAATCTGTTGATAATATACATAAAAACTGAGGAGAAAACATTAACAATCCAGGCCTAATTCTATTAGTCTGGATGTACAATAACTGTGTGCAGATGACAAGTTCTATTATTGTTCTTGAACAATCCGTTAGTTTTCAGCTGAGGAAAGAGCAATGCAATCCCTCTTGAAGATGGTGCTTTGGGCACAAGTCTGATCTAAACAATTTCTACATGAAACTCAGAAGCAAGCTCATTTCTGGGTTCAAATGACCAAAATGTCAATACCCCAGATTTAAGAGGGAAAACATCTCCCAGAAGAATCACAACAAGAAAATGTTACTTAACATGACTCAGATAAAACTTCTGCCCCCCCCCCCCCCTCCCCACAACTTCAAACCTGTTGAAACATAAATCAAATTACTATTTCTTATCATGGCCCACAACCCTGTTCAACCTCAGAAGTTATAATTGCAGCATTCATAATGGTTATACCATCTGGTGAATTTTGCAGTCCAGTACAGATAAGGAATGTTAATTGATCTTTTTTTGTTGTTGAGAGAATATACTGAGATAGTTACAGCATGCAAGCTAGGTTGAGAGAATATACGCAGGTAGTAACAGCATGCAAGCTGGGTTGAGAGAATATACTGAGATAGTTACAGCATGCAAGCTGGGTTGAGAGAATATACTCAGGTAGTAACAGCATGCAAGCTAGGTTGAGAGAATATACTCAGGTAGTAACAGCATGCAAGCTAGGTTGAGAGAATATACTCAGGTAGTAACAGCATGCAAGCTGGGTTGAGAGAATATACTCAGGTAGTAACAGCATGCAAGCTGGGTTGAGAGAATATACTCAGGTAGTAACAGCATGCAAGCTGGGTTGAGAGAATATACTCAGGTAGTAACAGCATGCAAGCTGGGTTGAGAGAATATACTCAGGTAGTAACAGCATGCAAGCTGGGTTGAGAGAATATACTCAGGTAGTAACAGCATGCAAGCTGTGTTGAGAGAATATACTCAGGTAGTAACAGCATGCAAGCTGGGTTACTTTTTGACCGAGTGTATGAGCTAACTTACCCTGACCACCAGACGTTTGCCGTAGTCAAATCTCTCCACCACCACCACATGTGTCTGACTGTTGGCGTAGTCAATCCCTTGGTTCATTGGAGTGTTGACCTCAACTCGCTCAAAGCCCACATCCATTGCTACCTTCACACCACCTGCACGGATGAAACATCAGGAAAGAAAGTGGTAACATTATTAAAACCCATGAGGTCTCTATCAATGGATGGAATCTTTGACAATGGGGATTTATCATCATAATCATCAAGTGCTTGGCCAACTAGGGTAGGTGATCATGCCTCTTCACAACCTGCAATCTTCAACAGCATGAATCAGTTCATGTGTTGACACCTGTTCATGACATGATTAAAGGCTGCCAAGAATCTTCTCACACTGTCTTCCTCCATCCCTCTTTCCACGAGCACAATATGTCTCAGCTGTCTACTGGCTTTAAACAGAAGATGCGCAAAAATATTTCTGTTTACTTTTAAAAGTATTCTGAAGCCATGAGCTGTTGACCCTTTGGCTCGGTACTATGGATGTCGCAACCTTTCGGCCTTGATTCCATGACAAATACCATAAATCTGGGAGATATGTGGCTTTTCTGCCTACCTCTAGGCGTAAATCCGAACAACAAGGAGTTCATCATCTGGTCGCAACGCAGTAAGGTTTAACCAACTGAGCTAGCGAGCCGGGCAAAATTTGTATATAAAATATGTCTTCCTGCTGTAATATGGGTATTGTTACGTGCGGAAATATGATTCCTTCATTAGAAATGATTCCCCATGTGGGTTCCGGGATGCCAATTTGGGGGACAAATAGAACAAACCCACTGCCTACCTATCAAGCATGTCATACAAGGCTTAAGGGTGTTTTCTTCAAAGTCAGAGCACATCTTCAAATAAACAAATCAAAAGACTGCATACAAATAAGCTAGATACGTGAAATGGTCTAAACAAGACCAAAGCCCAGAAGTGGACAAACAAACAGAATGTTCTGTCAGAGTTTATAGCCAGAGAACACTAAGAAAAAGATTCATCATCATCATCCAGTAACATTGCACGTTGTTGGGTCACCAGTTTCTGTTGACAATCTGATCAGCTCTCTCCACTTTTGACAGTCAGTTGTGATGGACTTCATTGTTGCATGCCTGAGGCCTGTCCAGTCAGTCAAGTTCTGTAACCAGGCCTACTTGGTCTGCCCCCTCTACTGCAGTATGGTTTTTGAAAGGCTGTTAGATCTTATTACATGTCCATACCATTGCATTTTTTGCCTTTTCACTGTACTTAAAAGAGGTTCATAGCTGCCAATGTGCTGTATAATTATATGGTGAACCTCTTCATGTGTTATGTGGTCTCTGTATGATATGCCAAGAATTTTTCTGAAACATCCTATTTTCAATGACTGTATCTTCCTTATGAGTTTAAGCTGTTAAGGCACATGTTTCACAGCCATATACAAATGTACTAATAGCTAGTGCTATGAGCAATCAAATCTGAGCTTTGCCTGAAATGTTTTGGGATCTCCATAGTTTTTGCTGCTTGGCAAAGATTGATGTTGTTTTGGAATCCTAGACATGATTTCTGGTCTTGACCCCATGTAATTTTAAATGGATCCTAAATATTTGAAATGACTGACTTGTTCTAACTTGTGACCTTAAGCTTGTTATAGTTTGACCTCCTATACTAACTGTTCCATGATGTGTTCTAAGGTGTCAGTCACAAATCTTTCTAAAAAGACATTAAACAGTGTTGGGGAGAGGAGGGAGCCCTGACGGACTCCTACTGTTGTTCGGAACCAGCTCCCTATTTGTCTGTTCAGTGTGAGAGCACTATTGGCCTTGGCATAAAGCTGTTCTATAATACGTTTGAGGGTTTTACCCATGTTGTACTTTTTCATAGTGTCCCACAGTGCTGCAAGCTATACTTTATCAAAGGCCTTTTTGAAATCAATGAACACATGGTGTAGATAGATGTTTTTGATGCTAGTGTATTGCTCTGATAAGTAGCAGATTATAAATCATTAAAAACAAGTGAGATACAGAGGCTGAGAGAGAGATACAGACAGTCTGAGAGAGAGAGAGAAGGGGGAGAGAGAGAGGAGGAGGAGGAGAGAGAGAGAGAGAGATGGATGAATGGATAGATAGATAGATAGATATAAAGATCTGAGGACTTCTATCCAGACTGGCGAACTATCTACATTGTACACTAAGTTATTTGGTTTGTTTTCTCACTGCATCATTTGGGCTGCATGGTCTCGAGGCATGATGTCTGCCTCGAATGCTAGAGGCTCTGGGTTCAATCCCTGGTACGGGATGGGATTTTTTCACGTGGACTTGGATTTCTAGTAATTCGCCCTGGTCTCTGGGTAGTGAGATCAGACGCACATGTGCATTGTTGCGCATCTAAATAATCCCTTAGCAGTTGAAAACTGAAAAGAGTAGCCTAACAACGCTGTCAGGGCAACATTTGGAGTTAAAAAATCTACCCAAAGTATTTCAGGATCCTCGCCATTGCTACAGAGCTGAGCTTCTTCGGACTCAAACTTGAGTTAGAAGAACGGAGCACTTATGGGTTACTACCCGTGTGCCATGATGTTGATTCATTGTTCCAACCTCAATACTCTCTGCATCATTTGGTTCAAATGCAGAATCTGCTTGGGGAGCATTTCTAGAGCAATGGAGTTTTTGCTTCTGTGCAGCATTTTCAGGAGGTGGCAGCTGCTCTTCAGTGAAAGAAAGAGAGAAAGAAAGAGAGAAAAAAAAACAAGGGGGGGGGGGGGGGGGAGGAGGGCAGAGAGAAACCAACCAGGCAGGATAAAGTGGCTTCTTTCGCCATTTTGTTTTCAACTGCATTTTCTTCCTATTGTTCACCAGCTGTAAACTCTAATGGAAAGTTCTTGCTGAACCTGAGTTTTGTAAGCAGACCCATTTGACAGGTCTGACTGATTTATATGCTGGTGCCTCGCATGTCAGGCAGGGGCATAGCAACTTTGAAGGAAATAACCTCTCAACGGTCAACTTTTACAACAAGCCACAAAAGGATCCCAGAACCCACCTGGGACTGTCATAAATAGAGAGTGGGAGAAAAATAGAGAAACAGAAAGCAAAAGGGAGGGAGAGGGAGACTGAGGGGTGGACTCATACAGAAATGCTAATTCTTTCTCATAAATTATTAAATTGTGCAAGAGGGAAAAAAAAAGATGAAACTTACCATTGTTGTTCATCTCTACAGTTATGTACTCAGTGTTTTCTTCATTTCTCATCTGCATGAGGATACCTTGCTTGACTTTTGTGGAGAAACCGATAGTAGCTCTCTGGAAATCAGAGGCAGATAAACCCTGGGTCTCGTCAAATGTGTACTTGACCATGTAGTTGTTCTTTAGATTGACTCCAACCTCTGCAGATAACATGTACATCTGCTGAGAACATGTTGCTAGCAATGCAAAATATTACTGAGGAGATATATGAATAGAGAGATGGAGAATGAAATTGAGAGAAATGATGGGGTCTCAAAGAAAAAGAGGGAGACAGGAAAAAAAAAAAGAAAGAGAGAGAGAGAGAGTGAGAGTGAGAGAGAGAGAGAGAGGGAGAGAGACATAGAGACAAATAATAAAGAGACGAGAAGAGATTAAGATATACAGGACAGAGATTGGAAAGGCTGAGTCTCACAGTAGAAATCTTACATTCTGTTCTGACACAAGATTTAGACCCCACGAAAAGAATCTCTGAGTATGATGATTTACGAGAAGAGACTAGAGCACAGTGCATGTGTGCAATGAAAGTTACCCATAAAAAAAAATGAGTAGAACTAAAGAAAGTTATGAGTTAAGAACCAACATCATACACTATTGTGCCATAATCACTCCCTCCCTATCTTCAGCATGAAGTGTAGAGTTCCAAATCTGATAGCCACAGTACCAGCGGCCTTGCCTTCCCCTGAGTTGAGCATTCCCCAGATTCTTTGTTCACTCCTCACCTTACCATTCTCTTCAGACAATTAAAGAAAGGGAGCATAAAATCCCACAAACCACTGATTTTCAAGAACATACAAACACCACTGATTTTCAAGAACATACAAACACCACTGATTTTCAAGAACATACAAACACCACTGATTTTCAAGAACATACAAACACCACTGATTTTCAAGAACATACAAACACCACTGATTTTCAAGAACATACAAACACCACTGATTTTCAAGAACATACAAACGCCACTGATTTTCAAGAACATACAAACACCACTGATTTTCAAGAACATACAAACACCACTGATTTCATGAACATGGGAAACTAAATACTTCAGCAATAAAATCTGGTAACTGTTACCTCTGCCACAGTTCCAACCTCTCCAAGGAGTATAGGCACAGTCGCAGGTATATCGGTCATAGCCTTCTCGACAGGTGCCCCCGTTAAAACATGGACTGCTAGCACATTTTCCAACACAACCTGGCAACATGTGAGAAATTATCTGTTAGAACAGGTGCCATCATTATCATTATGTCGCAGATCATTTGCATAATTTCATTATCATATCCCACCTGACACCCTTGACGTTTTGCCAGCTCCTCTTTCTCATGCATTTTTGTTAGTGTCTATTGTGCGATGGTTCCATTCACTTTCCAAATCAACCTGTCTTTAGACTATATCCTAAACACTCACATAAATTAGGTATGAGCCAAACAGCTCTCTGCCGGTGCCTTCGTGCTGAACAGACTCCAGAACATGTCCTGCAAGACTGTACTCTCCTGGCGGAGCTGCGGAGCGACATATGGCAACACCCAGTAGAACTGACAACTAAGCTTTGGGGAAACCTAAAAGACCTTGAAAAGACATCCCAGTTTATGACCCACAGTGGATTATGCGCATGACCAGAGATCGCTGAAGAAGAAGACTATATCCTTAATAATAGTTTAAAATGAATATAGCAGGTTGAATAGACAGTAATACAGGCTAAATGTCCAAATGACCCTTTCTCCCACCCCAAGAACATTTATATTATAGATATATCCTCACTGGATTTTAAAGTTTACACAATATGTGGTAAGTCTCTAATATATTTATAGAAAGGGTAAAAAAAATAAATAAAAGTGGGTACTATGGATATTAACTAGCAAAAGGAGGAAAGTATGGTGTTTGAACCACTTGCGTTACAGAGCAGAGGATGATGCACTGCTCTTCTGCATAGTGAGAGACGACAAATCATGTTGGCAGATGACAAATCATGTTGGCAGACGACAAATCATGGTGGCAGGCGACAAATCATGTTGGCAGGCGACAAATCATGTTGGCAGACGACAAATCATGTTGGCAGACGACAAATCATGTTGGCAGACGACAAATCATGTTGGCAGACGACAAATCATGTTGGCAGACGACAAATCATGTTGGCAGACGACAAATCATGTTGGCAGATGACAAATCATGTTGGCAGGTGACAAATCATGTTGGCAGACGACAAATCATGGTGTCACCAGTTTGAGCCAAGCATAAAAAGAGACAGCATGCAATGAAAGCATGCTGAATCACCAAAATCCTAAAATTTAAATTAAAGGTTTCCACTTCTAAAGTTATGTTCCCACCCCCCATTTTTTTAAACCATAAAGGGCTACTGTTGCCAGACTTGACCTGGTGTTATCATCAACTCTACTCACTACGTGGAAACACTAAACAAGCTGCATAAAGCTATTACAAATAAACATTCCAGCATGATTTCTTTTGGTGTGACATTACTGCACAACCATGCTCATTTACACGTTACAAAGATTATGCAGGTAGCAGTAACACGGAAGAAGTAGGGAATTCTGCAACATCCAGCCAATTGTCCTGATTATTTCCATGTGATTTTCATTTTTTTTGGAGACCAGTTAAAAAAAAAAAAAACGCGCTCAAGGGGCAATAATTTCACACTGATGCAGACATGAACGCTGTAAACAACTGGTTCAACCACAATCCATTTTTGTGGATGCCATTAACCACCTACATAAGGAAACGGATTTTTGCATGAATGCCTGTAGCGACTTATTCTGACCAACCTATGGTGCATAATTTATTCCAAATGAACGCTTTGTTAAATTCTGCTACACTTGATGCTTTTTTCATGCTTCTGTAATAAAGCCACTGGAACAGGGTTTTAAACAAATGCTTCTTGTAGTAAATGTTTGAGCTGTTCTCCATGTTTCCACTCCAAACAGCAGTACTAATTTGACATCAGAGTTTGCAACTGTAAGTTTAGTGTTAGTTATTATGTCCCCTGACTTCCACAAATTTCTTACTGCTACGAAAGTCTTCTCTTTTGTATTAATATTTTCCCCTGGGTGGGTGGGTTCCTGGGCCCCATTAAGGGGAAAACAAGAACAGACCCACTGCCTCCTAATATGGGTTCCTGGGTTCCATTACGGGGAAAATGAGAACAGACCCACTGCTTCCTAATGTGGGTTTCTGGGTTCCATTATGGGGAAAATGAGAACAGACCCACTGCCTCCTAATGTGGGTTCCTGGGCTCCAATACGGGGAAAACGAGAACAGACCCACTGCCTCCTAACAAACACGTCACAAGAAAAATTGGGGTTTCCTTCTAAGTCAGAGTGCATCTGTCTGAAAGGTGAGTAACCAACAGTCTGCATACAAATAAACAAGTCTGTAAAATGGATTTGCAGACAACATTCGAGTCCTGAAACAAGACTAAAGTCCAGAAAAAGTTAAACAACCGAATCTTTGTGCATAAGTTTACAGCAAGCACATGTGAAGAAGGTGAAGTATTCATATTTAATATCACTATTGGTCCCTCCATCTTTATCTGAATTACAGCCTAAATGGGCGTATGACTCCCGCACCTTGGAGTGGGATATCACCAGAAGAAATTCCATTAGTGTTTGCCTTGTTTATTCTCATTATCTTTGCCTTTCCCTTATAGACTGTTAAACCTAATTGTTGTGCATCCTCAAGTATAACTTATCTTGCATATGATTCCGCAAGTGAGGTAGGAAAGAAATGCCAACAGCAAAGTCCAGATCATCTGGCTGTTTTCAAGGGGTCTACCGAATTCCTTTTCTGATGGCAGATGTTGTTGTTTTATGTAATCCAGTCAACTGTCAGCCAAATTAGTAAAAGTGATGCAGCCCTCAAGCGCGTCTGTTCTTATTTCAAATGTATCTGTTAGATTTCCCAAATGAAGGCCTTCATATTTTACCTTTAGTAAGTTAATAATTTCCTGTGGGATTTGTGTGGATTTGGGAGTGGGAATAAAATCTTTGGGCCTTAAATGAGTTAAAAAAAAAAAAATCTAGATTTGAAGCCATACACGATGGACTCCTTACACCATCCTTCACTTTTCTGAATTACTCAAAAACTGTTTTACCTTCTCTTACACCATAAAGTTCAGCATTCCTAAGTTTGCCAGACATGTCCATCAGACGTCCGTTGACACGCAGACCCCGCATGCATCCGACATAACCATCTCCAAAGCCAACCAGCGAACCTACGAAGGAAACATAAACTGTTTTAAGTGACTTTCTTCATGAAGTAAATTACGAGCCCTTAAGAAAAGCTAACAGAAAACAGAAATGCTGTAATAGACCATGTGAGTCACAAGAGGTGACTAAGCAGAGCTGGCATCAAACAGACTCCCTCAGCATCAGCAAGTAGTTCCTTTACAGAAAGTCGCTCGGTTAACTTAACATTTCACAAAAACTAATTGATGTCAACATGGACTGTATGCCAGACATCATCGCTGAGTGGAGACGGCGACTTGAATGTAACCATAGTTACGCCATTACCAACATCGTAACGGAACTGGATAGTGTCTGATTCTGTGATATGAAAACCAAAATAAAATTAGAATTAGAAGTTTAGAACACCAACGTTCCCCATGTGAGTTCCTGGACTCCATTTTGGGGGATCAAATAGAAAAGACCCACTGCTCTCCAACAAGCATATCGTAAAAAGCAACTAATTAGTGATGTTGCCTTTATAGTCTGAGTGCATCTGCCTGAGAGACGAGGAACCAACAGTCTGCATTTAAAAAAAAACAGATCTGAAAATGGATGTGCATGCAAGAACTCAAGTTCTGTAACAAGATGAAAGTTCAGACAAAGATGAATAAACAGAGCTTTCTGTCAGAGTTTACAGTTAGCGAATGCAAAGAAGAATACTAATGTTCCTAATGGTTTTTGAAAATTACGTTTTAGAAATTTCTTCTTCTTCACGTTCACCAGCTGTGTTATTCGTCCACTTCTGGACTGCAGTCGTGTTCCAGAACCTGAGTGTTGCGTGTGCATCCATTTGACAGATCTGACACATTTGTGTGCAGATTGTTGGTTCCTTGCCTCTCAGGCAGATGCACTCCGACTTCGAAGGAAGCCCCCAATAGTCGAGTCTTACGACATGCTTTTTTGGCAGGCAGTGGGTCTATTATTGTTTTCCCTATAATTGGGCTCTGGAACCCACACTGGGGTTTTAGAAATATGATTTATGTACTTAGTCCATTGCATTCCCTGTGTGGGTTCTGGGCCCCCACTGCGGGAGAAAACAAAGAGAGACCCACTGCGGGAGAAAACAAAGAGAGACCCACTGCGGGAGAAAACAAAGAGAGACCCACTGCGGGAGAAAACAAGAAGAGACCCACTGCGGGAGAAAACAAAGAGAGACCCACTGCGGGAGAAAACAAAGAGAGACCCACTGCGGGAGAAAACAAGAAGAGACCCACTGCGGGAGAAAACAAGAAGAGACCCACTGCAGGAGAAAACAAGAAGAGACCCACTGCGGGAGAAAACAAAGAGAGACCCACTGCGGGAGAAAACAAAGAGAGACCCACTGCGGTAGAAAACAAGAAGAGACCCACTGCGGGAGAAAACAAAGAGAGACCCACTGCGGGAGAAAACAAAGAGAGACCCACTGCGGGAGAAAACAAGAAAAGACCCACTGCGGGAGAAAACAAAGAGAGACCCACTGCGGGAGAAAACAAAGAGAGACCCACTGCGGGAGAAAACAAGAAGAGACCCACTGCGGGAGAAAACAAAGAGAGACCCACTGCGGGAGAAAACAAGAAGAGACCCACTGCAGGAGAAAACAAGAAGAGACCCACTGCGGGAGAAAACAAAGAGAGACCCACTGCGGGAGAAAACAAAGAGAGACCCACTGCGGGAGAAAACAAGAAGAGACCCACTGCGGGAGAAAACAAAGAGAGACCCACTGCGGGAGAAAACAAAGAGAGACCCACTGCGGGAGAAAACAAGAAGAGACCCACTGCGGGAGAAAACAAGAAGAGACCCACTGCGGGAGAAAAAACAAAGAGAGACCCACTGCGGGAGAAAACAAAGAGAGACCCACTGCGGGAGAAAACAAAGAGAGACCCACTGCGGGAGAAAAACAAGAAGAGACCCACTGCGGGAGAAAACAAGAAGAGACCCACTGCGGGAGAAAACAAAGAGAGAGACCCACTGCGGGAGAAAACAAAGAGAGACCCACTGCGGGAGAAAACAAAGAGAGACCCACTGCGGGAGAAAACAAAGAGAGACCCACTGCGGGAGAAAACAAAGAGAGACCCACTGCGGGAGAAAACAAAGAGAGACCCACTGCGGGAGAAAACAAAGAGAGACCCACTGCGGTAGAAAACAAGAAGAGACCCACTGCGGGAGAAAACAAGAAGAGACCCACTGCGGGAGAAAACAAGAAGAGACCCACTGCGGGAGAAAACAAAGAGAGACCCACTGCGGGAGAAAACAAAGAGAGACAAACTGCGGGAGAAAACAAAGAGAGACCCACTGCGGGAGAAAACAAAGAGAGACCCACTGCGGGAGAAAACAAGAAGAGACCCACTGCGGGAGAAAACAAAGAGAGACCCACTGCGGGAGAAAACAAAGAGAGACCCACTGCGGGAGAAAACAAGAAGAGACCCACTGCGGGAGAAAACAAAGAGAGACCCACTGCGGGAGAAAACAAGAAGAGACCCACTGCAGGAGAAAACAAGAAGAGACCCACTGCGGGAGAAAACAAAGAGAGACCCACTGCGGGAGAAAACAAAGAGAGACCCACTGCGGGAGAAGAAAACAAGAAGAGACCCACTGCGGGAGAAAACAAAGAGACCCACTGCGGGAGAAAACAAAGAGAGACCCACTGCGGGAGAAAACAAGAAGAGACCCACTGCGGGAGAAAACAAAGAGAGACCCACTGCGGGAGAAAACAAAGAGAGACCCACTGCGGGAGAAAACAAAGAGAGACCCACTGCGGGAGAAAACAAGAAGAGACCCACTGCGGGAGAAAACAAGAAGAGACCTACTGCGGGAGAAAAACAAAGAGAGACCCACTGCGGGAGAAAACAAAGAGAGACCCACTGCGGGAGAAAAACAAGAAGAGACCCACTGCGGGAGAAAACAAGAAGAGACCCACTGCGGGAGAAAACAAAGAGAGACCCACTGCGGGAGAAAACAAAGAGAGACCCACTGCGGGAGAAAACAAAGAGAGACCCACTGCGGGAGAAAACAAGAAGAGACCCACTGCGGGAGAAAACAAGAAGAGACCCACTGCGGGAGAAAACAAAGAGAGACCCACTGCGGGAGAAAACAAAGAGAGACCCACTGCGGGAGAAAACAAGAAGAGACCCACTGCGGGAGAAAACAAAGAGAGACCCACTGCGGGAGAAAACAAGAAGAGACCCCTGCGGGAGAAAACAAAGAGAGACCCACTGCGGGAGAAAACAAAGAGAGACACACTGCGGGAGAAAACAAAGAGAGACCCACTGCGGGAGAAAACAAGAAGAGACCCACTGCGGGAGAAAACAAAGAGACCCACTGCGGGAGAAAACAAAGAGAGACCCACTGCGGGAGAAAACAAGAAGAGACCCACTGCGGGAGAAAACAAAGAGAGACCCACTGCGGGAGAAAACAAAGAGAGACCCACTGCGGGAGAAAACAAAGAGAGACCCACTGCGGGAGAAAACAAGAAGAGACCCACTGCGGGAGAAAACAAGAAGAGACCCACTGCGGGAGAAAACAAAGAGAGACCCACTGCGGGAGAAAACAAGAAGAGACCCACTGCGGGAGAAAACAAAGAGAGACCCACTGCGGGAGAAAACAAAGAGAGACCCACTGCGGGAGAAAACAAAGAGAGACCCACTGCGGGAGAAAACAAAGAGAGACCCACTGCGGGAGAAAACAAAGAGAGACCCACTGCGGGAGAAAACAAAGAGAGACCCACTGCGGGAGAAAACAAGAAGAGACCCACTGCCTTCCTAACAAACAAGTCATAATAGTCAACAATTAGGGGCATACTTTGAAGTTGCAGTGTGTCTGCCTGAAAGGCAAGAAACTAACAGTCTGCTCAATAAGTGAAAACAAAAAATGTAAGACTTAAGTCTAAAGTTGATGAACAACCAAAACTTTCCATCAAAGTTTACAGCCAGAGAAGACGAAGAAGGTAAATACCTGTATTACAAGTACAGAACTCTTCTGTTCCCCATGAGGGTTGTGGGACCCCATTTTGGGGGAAAATAATAAAAGACCCACTGCCCCTAACAAACATGTAATATGCGGTTAATTAGGTATGCGTCCTTCCGAGCTGGAGTGCATCTGCCTGAAAGGTGAGAAACCAACAGTCTGCATACAAGTAAGCCAGATCTGTAAAATAGATGTGCACGCAAAAATTCAAGTTCTGGAACAAGACCAAAGTTCAGAAATGGATGAACAAACAACTTACTGTCAGAGTTTACAGCTGGTGAATACAAAGAAGAATACTAGTGTTGTTTAAAAAAAAAATTTCAACAGATGAGCAAAGGAAGCTTGGTCCATCTGAATTCAATTAAATGGTTAACCAAAAACCAAAGCTTCTCTCACAGGTAGTATAAACAGAACTTCACCTAATGCAAAAACTCTACAACAGCAGTGAGGATTCAAATATCTGTTTACCAGAAAGACACCTATTTAGTTGTGAGTATTAAAAGTGTTAACTGCTGAGATATTTTAAGGTGTAATTTGTGCATGCTGGGTCTCTAAGAATATAAACATTGTCTGAAATTCTACAGTGTCTGACCCACTACTCCAGAAACAACAAATTTGTACAAACCTTGTCTTCACATACTTTTCTGAAGGTGGAAATCAAACTCTGGTGGGTCATGGTCTGTGAAACACGTTCATTAAGCTCTAATACAACCTATTTAACCAACTTCAATGTGTGAAAAGATAAATTCTTACGGAAAAGTCTGATCTCGATGAAGTCTGACACAACAGAGCCGACACAATGGATCATGACACCATCAGTAGTTGTAGTCTTAAACTGGTACCAGATGTCGCCAGCGTTGTCTGCTTCAAAAGTGGGGAATTCCAGAGCTCCATCCTTCTGGGTAAATGTCACGGTATTGCCGAACAAGTCTGGAAAGAGATTCATGGTGAAATTACAGCATTTATTTAAAAAATTTTTTTTTTAAACAAATTAATTCAACTCTTTATTTAGCCTAGCGAAAAAAAAACTTCATCACAGTAAATTGCTTGATATTTTTAAAAAATCTGTCACATTTTGATAAATGACTTATATCTTACCCAATGAGCATATTATTTAGTAGCAGTTATTGTAAATATTACTCTATCTAATTCTACATCACAACATGTGACCATACCATGCTTTATAGACAAAATATAACTGATGGATGAAAGATGAATGTTTAGAAGGGCCAAATATAAATTGGCATGCACATCAAATTTATGACCACTTGAAAATCAAGTATGTCTTTTCAGACATTTGTTAATCCGATCTTTTCAATTTCTCTTCTATAATTCTGCAGTTAACAGAAATGTACACTAATGTTGTTATCAATTTATAGCTGCCCCCATCTCTTTCGTTCTCAACCCCCCTTTCCTCCCAGGTAAGGTTTTTAGCTTAAAAATAATACAAGAAATAAAATAACATACATGCATCACTTTTCAAACCTCAGGATTGTAGGAACAAAACAACATAAAACTCACTGTCTCCAACAAAACACAACGCAAAACTCACTGTCTCTAACAAAACAACATAAAACTCACTGTCTCCAAAACACTCCAGTTCTCCAATATTATACTCGGACCAGTTATCATCAGTAGTGCTCCCAGTGTCACCCAGGTGCATCTCTAACACAGGCAGGTATTCTTTGTGAAGCAGGTAACCCTGGTCCACAGATTCACGGGCGACCACAGTCTAAATGACAGAAATAGACACGGATGGGTGTTACTAATTTTATCTTTTCTGTAAAGCCATAATTTGTGAGATTTTGTTGAATAAAAAAAAAAAAAAAATGGAGCATAACTAACTAGCTCTCTCTCTCTCACACATTGTACAGTGCAGACTGCTTAAGGTGATCTTGGATGTGGCAAATTTCTGTTGTGAAGAACTGCTTGTTTATCCCCTGCAATGTTTTTTTGCTTGAACTCTTTACTGAGATAAGAAGATTTCTGATGAGACGATCAATTTCTTGGGTCCTCTGTGAGTTCTCCTTATCAGGTCTTACATATTGGCCTTAAACAGGTGTATGAATGGTAAACATTAAAGAACTACTTACCGACTGTGGATTGGCAATGTCACAGTAACAGGTTGTGCTTTGACTACCACAGCCTTGCTCATCTAAGCCACATTTGCATTTGCCAGATCCCGGAGCTGCCCCGCCCCAATAGTGCATGGGTTGAAATGTTCTACCAACCCACCAGCCCCAGGACTTGATGGCTGGATTATCCGGGATTCCTGCAAATTGACAACAGATAATGAAATAGGGGATATAATGCTATGATGGGTAATGGGGAGGCTGGGGGTGGACACTTTGAAAGCTGTGAACGCAAGACAAATGCTTGAATGAAAAAGGAATTCTTCTTCTTCGCAATCACCGGCTGTAAACTCTGACGGAAAGTTCTGGCTGTTCGTCCACTTCGGGACTGCAGTCTTGTTCCAGAATCTGAGTAACGCATGTGCATCCGTTTGTCAGATCTGAATATTTTGTATGCAGACTGTTGGTTCCTTGCCTCAGGCAGATGCACTCGGACTTTGCAGGAAGATCCCAATTAGTCAACTCTTATGACATGCTTTTGGGTAGGCAGTGGGTCTATTCTTGTTTTCCCTATAATAGGGCCCCGGAACCCACACAGGGTGAATAAAGAATTGACATCACTGTACTCGGGACATTCCAATACGTGCTCTGTCTCCTTCTTTAGCAGACAAAGAAGAATTCCCATAGTGATGGTACCAGCTGCAAATGATTCAAGTTGTGACTGTCTTTTGTTGAACCCTGTGGGTAGAAAATCATGCTCACCCTCTGCTCATTACAAGCTGATTAATGGACAATCTTAAGTGCAAGACAGCCTGGCAAATGACACCACAACATCTTGAATGAGAATAGAGGTGGAGGCGGTAACTGCAGCTCGCCGGTGGCTAGAGAACAAGATGTATACACATGTCATAATTGTAACAGATTCTGAAAGCATGCTGAGAAAGGTCAAGACAGGGATGCTTAGCAGAGTGGCAAGCTTCACTGGAAAGGTCATGGGTAGTGAGCATATTTTTGATCTTTTCTCCAGGCTATGCCGGCGTGGTGGGTAATGAACAGGCAGACAGATTGGCTAGATCTGCTCCATTGGGTGGTGAATTGATACATAATAAGGCAGATGTGGTCAAGGCCCTTTAGAAACAAACAACAGAATCAGTAGAGATAGAAGACTATCATGGCCTGGAGAGTATGAGGCATCTGGGTGTAACCAGAGGGTCTGGCTGGCTCAATACACTCAGAGGAAAGGCAAGATGGACATATAACCAGAGTGCAACTGGTACCATCGTTACTGGAACTATGCGCTGGCTGCTGAAGATGAGGATGGAGCTGTGATGTCAATTCTTGACTCAACTCAACTCAACTACAAGCTGAATTATTCTCTCCAGATCTGGATGAGTTGTCTGTTCTGTTGCATTCTTTACTTGATCCCAGAGAGCTTTGACCACGTCTGCTTTATCATAAAGTAGCGCATCGCCTAAATAGTGCGTGCTACATGGCATCAGTAATCGTGTCTACACTTAGTCTTCTGTCTCATGCACTGTCAATAATTTCTAATACAGATGTTCTTTCATACCATGATGCCGAATTGTTTAACATCTCTCTCTTGGTCCTATGCTGTCTCTCTTGTCTTCCAACTTTCCAGTTGTTACGAGGCACTCCAGTTCCCTCTTCTTACAATATACCCATAGAATGTTGACTGCCTCCTTCTCATATTGGTTATTTCCTCGTGTGGGTTCCAGGGCCCCATTGTGGGAAAACAAGAACAGACCCACTGCCTCCCGAACAAACATGCATTAGGAGTCAACAAACTGGGAGCTTTCTTCGAAGTCAGAGTGCATCTGCCCGAGTGGCAAGGAACAACCAACTGCACACAAATAAGCCAGTAAAATGGATGTACACAAAAAACTCAGGTCTTGGCACAAAGCCAAAGTCCAAATAGACAAACAACCAGGACTTTCCACCGGAGCTTACAGCCAGTGAACGCGGAAGAAAGGAGGAGGAGGAGGTCCTGGTAATTAGTTATTTTCTCAAAATTTTTTTTACTTGAGTGCATAACCTACAACTCAGTCTCACTCCTTCATAAGGGGTCTGTTATTCACCACAAGCTGAACTTTAGAGATCATAAAGATGCGGGCATTGGACTTTAGGGTATGAGTTTTTCAAAGAAAGAAGTTCAATCACTTTTTGCGGTATCACCAGTTCACAAAGAAAATATACCAAGACTGAAGAAGACCACCGAGGCATCTAGTTTTATGTAGACAAAAGGACATGGTTGTAAACCTGTGTTCATCCTAATAAAACAGCTTTAAGTACATGTAAATCTTAAGCTATCATCTGAATTTTAATTGAAAAATGTGACTTATTTGCTTCCTATTATTTAACTCCGCTATTGTAGCATGTACTTGACAACATAATAGTGAAATATAGCAGAAAATGAATTGTGCAATCTGCTGTTTTTGTCTTTGTTCACATTTAGAAAAGGTGAACGTGTGATTTTCTGGAGATTAATTAATCCCTAATATTAGAAAAAAAGGGGGACAGATTAAAAAACAGAATACAGTTAGAAATTAAGAACAAGAAAAAGAGGCAAAGTAAGGTGTAGAATAAGAAGGATCAGGAGGGAGGGGAAAAAAAAAAGAATAAAATGAAATGTTTTGAGGATAAAGTAAATAAATCAGGAAGGTGGAAAAAAAAAAAAAGAGACATACTTCCTTATCTATTTTATAATAATGTTAAGTTACCTGGATCCGACAGAAATCTAGCATTGCGGCACTTGTAGAGAACATTCTGTCGACAAGTACGAGCTCTGTCAATGACCTCCTCCAACTCATACACATCAGCGGCCTTATAAGTGATCTTCCTTACATAGGAGCCTGGATCTTGGTAGCCATTGACCCGGATGTCACCCATACTGTCGTGACCAATATAGGTAATTATCTCACCAGAATTGTCTGAAATGTTCAGAAAAGAAATAAGCCACCCATTCGCATGTCATAAAGGTTTGTTACGAAAGTAAACACCCTTTCCCAAGCCTTTAGGTATATAGGGCTGGACTTATATTTTACAGACTAACTGGCACTTGGTAGGTGATTTGGTTAACACTATGCCAGCCACCTTTACTTTCCAGAACTTCACCTGGTACCCAAAATCATTTTTGAAAAAAGTCCTGCTTCTTTCAAATTAGGAACCCATGAGATTCAGATCTGAAGGCGAGTGTCTAGCCGCTACACCACAATAGCTCCTCACAAAGGTATACTGAAAATAAAGTCCCGAGTTCATATTTTTAGTGACCACATGTTACAAGAAAGGTGAAACATCCAGTACCGCACTTCTAAGATTCGGGGCCGCGTTAGCGCAGTCGATAAGAGGCTCACTTTCAAAACCAGCTGCGACTCATTGCAGCCTACGGTCAGTGTCCTAAACCTGGCGGCTTCCGGGGTTCACCCAGCTCTAGGAAACGGGTACCTGAGTTGACACTCTGGGGTAAATGGAGGAACGTCACTGTAGCCACAGAGTTAAGTGCGGACGGCGACACAGGTGGACAATTCTGATCAGCTGTCCGTACTGGTGGCAGAGTACATATGGTTTATAACCGTGTGCAATGATGTTGGTTCACATCTCCCGACATTACCTTTTTTTGGGAGGGGGTGGGGGGGAGGGGGATATTCTGAGAAACAAAGATGCCAGCGAGGAAAGTGGCCATCCTATCTCATCATACTATATAGCCTAAAAAATGTAAATGCTGAACACCTCACTGGCAGAACTGGCCATCAAACCATTCTTATATTTCAAATTCTACAAGACAGAGCTGTATAATCTTACTACACCCACAAGACAGAAGAGCCAACCCACAAGACAGAAGAGCCAACCCACAAGACAGAAGAGCCAACCCACAAGACAGAAGAGCCAACCCACAAGACAGAAGAGGCAACCCACAAGACAGAAGAGCCAACCCACAAGACAGAAGAAAAAAGGCCAATGTTCAACTAAGCAAAACTGAGGAGGCATCTTAAAAAAAAAAAGCGCAAGGCAACAAAGTCTTTTTTAAAACCCTTCGAGTACCAAGAAATACACCATAGGTTGATTTATAACTAATTCAGCAATCCTTGAGAACCGAAAGAATAAATTAAATACATTCTAGGGAGGGTTGAATACAATCTTCAACAAAAAAAATATGTATTTAATAATTCAAAGGCACATCCTGGTGGGAATACTTATCCACGAACATATCAGTTATCTGAAATATTTATATTCAACACTCCAAGATCATTTACCTCTTTCGCAGGAAGCCTGAAAGGGTTGAAATGGACCAGAACCATCTGGATCAATGATGCCATCCTCCCTTCCTTCAATACTAGAGTAATATTTGAGCATCTCACATGAAATGTAATAGGAGGCTGTGAGAGAAGAAAGATTTGATTTCTGTAAGATACGTATTTACAATATATATAGTTTTAAATATAAGTTTTCAAATAAGTGCATCATTAGTTTAAATGTTACATCAGTAATTTATGTTACATCAGAAATTTAAACACATACTGTAGGATTTGTAAAAACTAAATTTGTAAATACGGGCATCCATTCTACTAATCCAAGGTTAAGGTGGAGTCTAGCTATAATTGAGAAAAATATTTTTCACTTATAATTTATTTGGAGGGGTGACCGCACATAAAATGACACATCTTGTTGGAAATCACACATTGTGGAGAGGTATGACTGTCCACACCAGGCAGGACTGTATCTTCTTCTTCAGCATTCTGAGCCCTTGAGGTTCAATGATGCAGATACCACCTGCCTCCACTCCCATCTCTCTGGTTGGCCTTCTCTTGCCAAGTGGTAACACCAAGTGTTTGCAGGTCTCTCTGGGCATTATCTCTCCATTGTCTTCTTGGTCTGCTTCGTCGTCTACAACCATTCCTCTCCCTTGTGTATACAGTTTTTACATCTCTGTCATCTGACATTTTCTCCACATGTCCCAGACATTTCAACCTATTAGCTCCCATGATGCCAGTGATCAAGGGTGATTTAAACAGATCCTGAAATTCGTTGTTGGTTCTCTCTCCATTCCCCGCTGTTTATATCTCTGATAGGTCCAAAGATGGTAGCACTTGATGATGATAATAAAAATTCAAAAATGTCGAAACTGACCCAGAAATTTGGAAAAATTTAAATATTCTTTAACATAATTCAGAAATATGGGGGAAAAAAGGTTTCTGTATTCCAAGAGGCAACCTAAACAGTAAACAGGTTCTCACTATTCTGTCACTCATCAAATAAGATGGAGCTGCCATGGTGCAGTAGCTAGATGTTTGCCTGTGGATCTGAAGGTCATGGGTTCAAATTCTGATAGAGCCAAACTTAAAAAAAAAAATAACTTTAGCTCTAAGACCTGGGAAGTAAAGGCAGCCAGTGTGATGTTTATAAACCATATCAAACACAGAGTGCTGATTTGTCTATAAAATATAGGTCTAGCCCTATAATTCTCCTGAAGGCATCGAAAAGGGCCTTTTACTTTTGCTAATCAAACAAGAACAAGTTTCCAAGAATAAAAAAATAAACCAAAACTCACAGGAGTGACACAGTTCTCCTTGGTACCCCATAGCACAAATACAGTTGAACGTGCTCCACGACTGCTCACAAGTGCCTCCATGCTCACATGGGTTGGGTGTGCACCTGTTTTGTCGGACAAGGTCAATATTAAACGCACACAATTATTTTTTTCAATAAAAATGTATTATACACATAAATACATTTTGTACACATAAATTATATATTAATGAGCTTCAATAAAAACATAAAAAGCGTGAAAGAATTTACTTCATCTTTTCACTCATTCTGAGTGACGTAATTGTGTTGTGCCTGTTCACAGCAAAGCTCTGATATTTGCGGCTTTTTTGGCCGACACATCTGGCTTCACTGAGCATGTGTCGACTGGGTTAACTTCCCGGATAGATTAGTGGGACAAGGACATGTTGCTTTATCTGTATGTTCCCTTATCTGCAGGGGTCACCTCTGGAGAACCCATCCAGTGTAGACTGCTTCTTCTTCTTTACATCCTCTTTTACCACTCTGAGTGTCTCGAGAAATATGAGGTCCTGCTTCATGCTCTTCTGGCTGCTCCAACCACAGACACATCTTGGTGCTGTAGAGATTCTCTGATGTTATCTTCCCATATTGTTCTTGGTCTACATTTTGCTCTACGTCCCTCTCCTCTTTTGGTATATGCCTTGTATGGTATATCATCAGGAGTCATTCTCTCCAAGTGCGCAGCAAACTCTTTGATTTGCTGTCTTTGTATGTAATTTAGAATTGGTTCTGTGCCAACTTTTATCTCATATGAACTCATTCCTGATTTTATCTCTTCTGGTCACTCCTACAGCCTTTCTCAGAAACCTCATTTTCATAGTTACTAATTTTAATTTATGTTTTGATGTGAGTGACCACGTCTGGCACTGGTAGCATAGGGTGGGAATGAATATGCTTTGTATTAGATGTTTTTTTGTGCTGACTGAGACTGCCTTATGCTGTAAGGGGGGCTGGCTGTCCCAATACGTGGCCTGCTTTACTGCACCGGATGTCAATTTCTTCATCCTATTAATATCCTTCAGTGAATATTGTTCCAAGATATTTAAACTCAGATACCTGTTTAATATATGTATGCTCTAATGCTATGTTTAAATCCTGCTTCTTTCTTCCTTGGCCGAAAGGTGAAAATATCACAGCCATGCCGTAAACGGACACAACGCAATTACATTTTCGGATGAATGCAAAAGAAGAGGAAGAATATTTGATTTAGTGGTGCAGACTGGTCGGCCCAAAAGGGAAGGCAAGGAGAGATCATGGGCATTGCCCACAATCCAAGGAGGCCACCATAATGTACAATAACCGTGCTATTGTCTTGTCACCTGGCAACATTGTTGTCAAGGATAACGACAGTATTTACCATGTGACACCTCAGTGATGTAATGACAGTTTAAAGATGGCCACCTCACTTTTGACATGCACCAAAGAACAGTAGTGCTCTGCTTTGGGTTATTTGCTCTGCTCCATGAATCTCAACCATTGCACTGTGTCCTCTTGTTTTTTTTCTTAGTGTTCACCAGCTATAAACCCCAGTGGAAAGTTCTGGGTATTTGTCCAAGTCTGGACTTTGGATTTGTTCCAGAACTTGAGTTTAGCATGCACAGCTTTTTACATATCTGCCTTATTTGTATGCAGACTGTTAGTTTCCTCGCCTCTCAGGCAGACAAACTTTGACTGATGAAGACGCCCCCTATTATTCAACTTTTATGACTGCTTGCTGGGGAAGGGGAGGGTGTTTTCCTGTCTACCCCCTCCAAAATAGGCCCGGAGAAAACATGCAGAGAGAAAAATTAAGTCTTTCAAGGTTTTCTCAAAGTAATAGTTATTTTCAAAGATGAACTGGACGTATGTTGTCCTTGGTACATGCATATTTATCTTTTCATCGAGCGCACCACCCACATTCCCTTCTGACACAGCCCCATGCTGAAAATACATCTAAAATAGATTCAATTTAACTGTACTCCATTCCCAACTGGACTTCCTGAAATGCTTCTAACAATGGCAGGACCGCTGGCTGAATGTGTGCAATTCTGATAAGACTTCACTGAAGTGGATCAGGATTTAAGACCTCAGGGTAAGTAATTCTAATTTTTCTAACCAGAGACTGGATACTTTTCTAAAAAAGCCCATATATTTCATCTTTTGTTTGACTTACTCTGCTCCTAATCGTTGACACACATAATTAAACTATTTAAAATTATTGCCATGGTTAAGCATATAACCTGGAAAGACAACAAGAAAAATTGAGAAATCTTTACAGAAACTGGAAATAAAAAGGAAATTACTCAGATGAATTTTCAGCTCTAATTCTGGTCAAAAGGACAAAATCCTGCTGAAAGAAAGGCAGCAGTGCAAGAGAAAGGCAGATGTGCAAGAGGAAGGCAGATGTGCAAGAGGAAGGCAGATGTGCAAGAGGAAGGCAGATGTGCAAGAGGAAGGCAGATGTGCAAGAGGAAGGCAGATGTGCAAGAGAAAGGCAGCAGTGCAAGAGGAAGGCAGATGTGCAAGAGAAAGGCAGCAGTGCAAGAGGAAGGCAGATGTGCAAGAGAAAGGCAGCAGTGCAAGAGAAAGGCAGATGTGCAAGAGAAAGGCAGATGTGCAAGAGGAAGGCAGATGTGCAAGAGAAAGGCAGATGTGCAAGAGAAAGGCAGATGTGCAAGAGAAAGGCAGATGTGCAAGAGGAAGGCAGATGTGCAAGAGAAAGGCAAATGTGCAAGAGAAAGGCAGATGTGCAAGAGGAAGGCAGATGTGCAAGAGGAAGGCAGATGTGCAAGAGGAAGGCAGGTGTGGAAGAGAAAGGCAGATGTGCAAGAGGAAGGCAGATGTGCAAGAGAAAGGCAGCAGTGCAAGAGAAAGGCAGATGTGCAAGAGGAAGGCAGATGTGCAAGAGAAAGGCAGCAGTGCAAGAGGAAGGCAGATGTGCAAGAGAAAGGCAGCAGTGCAAGAGGAAGGCAGATGTGCAAGAGAAAGGCAGCAGTGCAAGAGGAAGGCAGATGTGCAAGAGAAAGGCAGCAGTGCAAGAGGAAGGCAGATGTGCAAGAGAAAGGCAGCAGTGCAAGAGAAAGGCAGATGTGCAAGAGGAAGGCAGATGTGCAAGAGAAAGGCAGATGTGCAAGAGAAAGGCAGATGTGCAAGAGAAAGGCAGATGTGCAAGAGAAAGGCAGATGTGCAAGAGGAAGGCAGATGTGCAAGAGAAAGGCAAATGTGCAAGAGAAAGGCAGATGTGCAAGAGGAAGGCAGATGTGCAAGAGAAAGGCAGATGTGCAAGAGGAAGGCAGATGTGGAAGAGAAAGGCAGATGTGCAAGAGGAAGGCAGATGTGCAAGAGAAAGGCAGCAGTGCAAGAGAAAGGCAGATGTGCAAGAGGAAGGCAGATGTGCAAGAGAAAGGCAGCAGTGCAAGAGAAAGGCAGATGTGCAAGAGGAAGGCAGATGTGCAAGATAAAGGCAGATGTGCAAGAGGAAGGCAGTTGTGCAAGAGGAAGGCAGTTGTGCAAGAGCAAGGCAGTTGTGCAAGAGCAAGGCAGATGTGCAAGAGGAAGGCAGTTGTGCAAGAGCAAGGCAGATGTGCAAGAGACAGGCTGATGTGCAAGAGGAAGGCAGATGTGCAAGAGGAAGGCAGATGTGCAAGAGGAAGGCAGATGTGCAAGAGAAAGGCAGATGTGCAAGAGGAAGGCAGATGTGCAAGAGACAGGCAGATGTGCAAGAGGAAGGCTGATGTGCAAGAGGAAGGCAGATGTGCAAGAGGAAGGCTGATGTGCAAGAGGAAGGCAGATGTGCAAGAGGAAGGCTGATGTGGAAGAGGAAGGCTGATGTGGAAGAGGAAGGCTGATGTGCAAGAGGAAGGCTGATGTGCAAGAGGAAGGCTGATGTGCAAGAGACAGGCAGATGTGCAAGAGGAAGGCACATGTGCAAGAGGAAGGCTGATGTGCAAGAGGAAGGCAGATGTGCAAGAGGAAGGCTGATGTGCAAGAGGAAGGCAGATGTGCAAGAGGAAGGCTGATGTGGAAGAGGAAGGCAGATGTGCAAGAGGAAGGCAGATGTGCAAGAGGAAGGCAGATGTGCAAGAGGAAGGCTGATGTGGAAGAGGAAGGCTGATGTGCAAGAGAAAGGCAAATGTGCAAGAGGAAGGCAGTTGTGCAAGAGGAAGGTAGATGTGCAAAAGGAAGGCAGATGTGCATGAGGAAAACAGCAGTTTAAACATTAGGATAACATCGAGAAAAGATACAGAAAGAGATTAAAGACTCTACAATCTTGGTTACAGGCACAAAGTATTGAAGCTTCCCTATGAAGATGGCAGTAATCTGATTTGAGGTCCAACAGGGATCACATATTATTGTATGAAAGTCCACAACTACCTACCTATCTCTGATACCACACGACCCAATCTGAGCACCAACCACAGTAGTAGAGGAAACAGAGGACAATCTTTCAAGGTCGACAGCCCTCTGGGCTATTTGAATATCACGCATGCATCCACGGAAACCATTGAAGAGTTCATAACCACCTGCGGACAGAAAGAGAGAATAATTTTGATTAAACTCTTATTAGTTAGTTAGTTAGTTGGGTTATCATCATTACACTCCGGACATGTCCATAGGTACTCAGATCCTCCCCTCAGTATGAGCCCCAAAGTCCGATGGCTAATAGTACCAGTTCTATGTTGACTAACAAGTCTTCTGGTGTGCCTGGGGTGCGTCTTGTTTTTTGCTATGCCAATTAAACTCTCATGTGCCCAGTTACCACCATTTAACTTTACAAGTACAGGTTGACATACAAAAAATCTGGCTGTTGATAATTTGATTCTTAAGATTTCCAGCACGGATTTTAGAGCACAATATCAGATTTACCAGCCACTGTTTTCTGCAGGCGCCATTTATGTTCTGATATGTTGTGATCCAGAATCAACCACTGGGTCTTGTTTGCATGTGCTAATAGGCATTCCGGCTTATCCCTTCTCATTTTATCATTTACTTGCTCCTGTATAGCAACTGTTGAGCATTAATATTGCATCTGCATTTCATTCAGTTTACTTTTCTTTCTTAAACTCTTTTAGTCCTAGGAACGGATCATACATTCCTACCTAGTACCCCAATGTACGGATGCACATATTTTACACCTCTCTTTACTATCCCTTAGGCCTCTGATGCTAAGCCCCAGGGACTAAAAGAAGGACTGTACAAGCAGTCATTTTCTGCTGAATATATATAGTAGGGCTGTACCGAATAGTGATTTTCACTATTCGGCCGAATACGAATTGCTGGACCAACTATTCGGTAGAATACGAATAGTGAATCATCATCATCAGGTGCTTTGCCGATTGGCATTGGCGATTATGCCCTCGCCCGAATCTGCGATCTCCTGCAGCGTGTATTAGTTCGTGTGCTGGCACACCTCCATGCCATGCAACAAGACTGTCAAGAATCTTCTCTCGGTGTCTTCCTCTATCCCTCCTTCCACAGACCTTTCCAGTGGTCACCACATGTTCCCTTTTCCCTCATCAACATGGCCGAAAAATGATGACTGTCTCCTTCTGATGTATGTGAGTAGTTGTCTTCGGGCTCCCCCCTCTATCAAAACCTCTTGGTTGCTTTTTTTCTTGGCTGTCCAAGGTATTTTAAGCATTTTTCTGTAAAACCACATCTCTGAGGCCTCAAAAAATTGTTTGGCCTGCCTACCGATTGTCCAGGACTTACAGCCATATGTTAAAACTGGATGTATGTAGCAAGCAAGAATTCTTTTTCTAACCTTTAATGACTAAAATATATTGCATAAGATGTTCTTAATTTTTTTTAATGCAGTTTTTGCCTGTTCTATGTTCTATTCTGTTTCTTATTTCAGTAATGCATCTTCCATCTGATGTTATCAATGTGCCCAGATAATTAAATTCTGTTCTTGTCCCAAAGCAAAACCACTGACTTTCATTACACATTTAAGAATAATTATTTTCTTTGATACCACCTTTACTTCTGTCTTCCCACTATTCAAACTGAGGCCCATTCTTTCACTATCGTGTTTAAAATAGATCTAAAAAAAACCAAACAACTATAATGTCAAATGTACGCTGAAATTTTACTTCACAAAATGTAGTACAGAATAGTAAACCTTTAAAAACATTTCATGTTTTGCATCCTTCAGTCAGTCAGTCTGTGGTAACTAATACCTAGGAATGAAAGTATTCTTAATTTTATAACAAGTAACTAAACTTGTAAATTGTCACTGACAGCTTAGTTAATCCATGAAAGCGGCATTAGCTTTCCAGAAAATAAAACAATCGTTCCATGTTGTCAGCATTAAGGCAGCTTGTCTCACTGAGGGTATTTCCAACTGTACTAAACATACGTTCTCTTGGTACGCTCGTAGGTGGTGCACAAAGATAGCGCTTGACAGTATGAACCAAGGTGGAAAATCTTGATATGTTTATTTTCCACCAGTCCAGAGACGGGTATAAGGTAACCACTATTCGTATTCGGCCAAATACCGAATAGTTATTAGGTCCACTATTCGGCCCGAAGCAAATACGAAGATACTACACTTTGATTTTAGCCAAAAGCAATATAAAATCTTACAAGATCTGACATTTTTACAAATCCAGCACTCTTCAGGTCCAGAGGTTGCTAGATTTGTGAAATGTCAAGCCATACCTTAATCAGTTACAGAAAACTAGCTCAGAATGTGTCCTTACAGTTTCCGTCTCTTCCAGATGAAGTCAAAATAATACGCATACTTACAGTTCTGCTGTATTTATAATTAGCTGCTATTTTAGCTTTGTCCAAAGCCTTCATGATCACTTCAACCGACCAGAACTTCCACTAAGTATGGAAGATCTTTTCATCATTTGTTTAATACAACTTATGATGCCAACCCAGAATTCTGATTCATTCTTTCAGCTGCAAGCAACTACTGGCACCTTCCCTTAAATCGCAGCCAAATTATAATATGTTTTCTATTACAGTCACATTTGGTCAGAACTTACAATTCCTGCAACTTGTAATTCTTCCCTTGGATAACTTCTGTCAGAACTCCAGGGCTTGGAAAATTTACATACATCCCAATTTTTCTCAAGACCAAAATGTAAAACATATATTAATCTTACCAATATAAAAATCTGTAAGAGCCGCAACTGACAGTTTCCGAAGTGAAACTTTAGAGTTCCTGTCAACAGTGCAGTTAATTTTTTCATTATCGACGTACAGGTAGAAAGTGTGCCAAAGTCCATCAGTGTATGAGCCGGTTTTGCTCAAAACATCAACTGAAGAAAAAAAAAAGATTACAAGATTGTGAAATGATAAAATATATAAACAGAGCACTCGTTTTCGAGCACCAATTAATATCTTAGCATCATAAATTCTGTTACCTATGTAGTCAAAGGGGTATTTTGAGCAGCAAAATAATAAGCTAATATTCAAAAGTAGACCGTAAGAACAAAAAAGAAACAAGCATAATTTATGATATTGAAAGTAAACAGACTGTCCCTAATAACAAGACAAGAGAGTAGTGGAATCATCGCAATGTACAATTTAAAAAATTCAAGTATGTTGTAACTAACAGAGTACATTTTAAAACAGCTTAAATAAATTCATTGATTATAAAAATATTAGCAGAACAGTGAAATAGATACATGAATTGTTTTGAAAATGTAAATAAGAACAAAACTGAAAATCTGACTGAGAAATATTATCGACCACTTCTAGACTTGGTTTTATTCCAGAACTTGAGTTTTGCGTATGCATACATTTTACAGATCTGACTTATTTGTGTGCATATTTGTACGCCTGTATACATAAAAAGTCCGGTACACTGTGTGCCGGTCCCTGAGAGTGAACAAAAAACAATTATAAACAACGGGGACACACCTCTGATGACTAGAAGACTCCTGTTGTGCCTACTCCAAGGCCAACAGCAAGTTCACAAGCACACATGCTAGCACACACACACACACAAACGTGACTAAAATCAAAATAATTATTATTGTGAAACATTTGATTTCAGGAAAAAAAGACATTCTAAATTAATATTGGACACAGGAAATATAGCAACATGAAATGAGTGTTAAAGAAATATTTACCATTCCTAACAACATCTTCCACTGTCTGACCATCAATATCAATTATTGTATACTTTACGAAGCCGTTTTCATCAATTCTCACCTAGGCAGAAAACATCAGTCAAATATTAATTTAAATTCTCTGTCTAAAATGAAAAGCTTAACCGGTTTGGTGTAAATTGTTGAATTTTGGCATGTAACTTGTAAATAATAATGTCCTTGTAGCAAAGTGATTATAAACAAACATCTAGTTTTGATTTTTCCTTATTTGAGGTATATTAAAAACAGGCATCGATTGAAAGAGAACAATTAGCATGTTTACAGTAAATGGATTGATGCAAACTTGGCAAAACATCAAATTGACCACGTTTTGGAGGTAATCTTTGGGGAAGTTCGGAAAGCGGGGGCTAAGGTATGCTTATTTTGTTCAATGAAGTAGTAGACATGTCATATACTGCCATAATTGCTTGCTAAATGGCTCATAAAAAAACAAACGATTTTTGTCAGTGACTGAACATTTTGCTACAAAATTTTTTTTCAGGGGATACAAAAATTATTAGTCTGACAAAGATCTAAGAAATTCATCAGTGTAAGAAAACAGCAGCACCTGTGCAACATAGGAAATCTAAGACCAAAGGCAAAAATTTGTGCTGATCCATACACAAATTTTCAAGATATTAGTTATGAGGGGCAACTTCTGGAATGGACTTAAGCTCCACATGACAAGCATATGCAGCAAAGGGTGCTGAACATTACGATAAGGATTACGAATTAAACAAATTAATTCTTCTTCTTCTTCGTGTTCACCGGCTGTAAACTCCGGCGGAAAGTTCTGGTTGCTCGACCACTTCTGGGTTCTAGTCCTGTTGGAGAAACTGAGTGTTGCATCCACATCCGTTTCACAGGTCTAACTAATCTGCATGCAGACAGTTGGTTCCTTGTCTCTCAGGCAGATGTTTTTCAACTTCGAAGGAAGCTCCCAATTAGTCGACTCCTATGACATGCCTTTGGGCAGGAAGAGAGTCCATTCTTGTTCTCCCCACAACAGGGTCCGGGAACCCACACAGGGAACAAATTAAATGATGTTTCATTTAATTCTTCTAACTTCAAATATAAGAAAAATGCACTTCTTAAGGTGGTGTTTGGGCAGAATAGGCTGGGGATATTGAGCTTCGGATTCTCTTCTCACTCTTGAAGCATATATGTTGTCAACATTTTAGCTCCACAGTTTATAGCATCCATATAAAACTAGGATCAAAATGTACCACTTCTATACTCACCACTACTGAGGCAGTATCAGAATCCATCTTATGGTAAACCATAAGGGAATCTTTGTCATAGGTTCTGAAGTCAAAGGCAACATGCACTACCCTGCCAGACTGTGCTGAGATAAACAGTTTGGAAGTCAAAGTAGGGAAAGTGACTGGAATCTTGGCTACAACCTGGCAGAATAGAGTTTACAAAATTAGTTTTGTCAGATATTATCTGGAACATTAATAACGAACAAATGAGGTCATCAGAGTAATTGATTAATATCTGACTAGTGTAGAGGGATTGGGAAAAATAGTGTCAAGAGATTTACATTCATGTATCTTTTCCTCTGAATGTTACAATAACCAACTGTGAAACATTTCTACCATCTGGGTATTGAGCTGGAGTATGTTGACTATTAAATATTAAAAAGTTGTTGAGGAAGCATTACCAGTCTAGACCTAATGTTTACTGGTCTGTATCTACTGTGTTAAATCATGACCTCTGTATCTTCTGCCATTTATCTCCCAATGGAGCACAGGCCCTCAACCAACTCACGCCAAGTTGTCCTATCCTTTGCTATCCCATGCAGCTGACCCCATGTCTTCCACATCTTTTTATCTCACTCTTTAGTTCCCTTCTCCATGTGTTTTTTGGGTCTACCTTTATTTCTATGTCCTCGTGTTTTCTAGTTTAAAGCCATTCTAGTTATATTGTTCCCAGGCTTTCCTGTATTTTCTATCCACGCCAGCGTCTTTTCCTCACCGAATCATGACCTGGTTAAATACTAATATGCCTACCACAAATGTGAACAAGAAAGATGGCTGCATAATTAACAACTGTAACTAGAACAAGACTGGAAAGGGGGGGGGGGGGGGGGGGGGTGGGGGGGATGAGCAATAGAGAAACCAAACAGCATGAAGAATTCTGGAATAACGCCAAGAAACAAAGCAATCATTGTGAGAATATACATCTTTTCTGTGGGAACACAGTGATATGATGAGGGACACAATAAACTAAAATAAAGTATTCTGCATTGAAACTGACCGCGTCTAGTTTACCATACTCAGTTCCCCACTAAGTGGTAAGTAAAGTAAAGATACCTTTCCACACCTTTAGGCGCATCAGGTATATGGGAAGAGCGCCAATATTTTTTCAGAATATAGGCACTAGGTGGGTAATGTGGTCAGCATTACGCAGGCCATCTCTACTTCCCCAGGACACACTAAGTGGTACATACTCAAATAGTCAGCCTGTTAATTTCCCAATACACCTGCTTGTCCAGCTGAAAATCCCAAAGGATGCTAACTAGCCAGGATCTCTGAAATGATGTTTGCCACTTTGCAGAGACCACCTTTTTCAGCATGCTTTCAGAGCCTGTTACAATGAAAATACGCGTGTGTAGCTGGTTCTTAAGCCAGCAGAAATCTACAGTGACTGCCTCCACCCTCACTCTCAAACTAGCTGTTGTCATTCCATTCCATTATCATGATGGCAAAGATAGAACATTCTAATTATAAAAAAAGCACATGAGGGAACAGAGGATCAAGAGTGAACCATGATAAAAGTGATTTTTACTACAAGGGAATTGCTACATAATGATGGCATATGTATTTTTCCCACTATTTCTGTCTATATTTTATAGTTTTTCCCACAAATAAGGAGACATTTTTTTAAACTTTACAACAGCAATTCTCAATGTAGAAAAATCTGTTTATGTGACAAATTATTTGATCTTACTTGAACAGTTATTTAAGCCTTGTTATTAAAAAAAAAGTTTATCCTTTGTTAAAAACAAGATTATTTGCACTGATATTAAACAAAGAATTCACATTGTAACTAAACACTAATAATTCCACTTACATTACAGAAAGAATTCATAATTTCACAATGAAGTAAACCAACAGTATTGCCCCTAATGTTACACAAAGAATTCACGCTGTAGTAAAACAGACATATTCTCACTTACATTACAGAAGGCATTCACATTGTTTTTGATAGAGACGGTTGCCAGTTTGTTGGACAAAGCATCTCTGATCATCCTGGCCCCATTGAGGTTGAGATTCTGGATACAACCGATGAAGTTGTACTTGACACCGATTCCATCCATGTTAAAATATGGCACTCCTCCGAGGTACAACTGAAATAACATATTGAATACAAGTTATTAAACGGACAAAGAATCACTGCAGGTGAATGGGAAACAAATTGAGTGAGGCAGTGAGAGAAAACTTAAGACGAACGTTGCTGAAATAGGCCAAATGTGCTGGACTGGATTCCATCTATAATATCCAGAGGACTACATAGGACACAAAGAAATAGAGGACTAGACTGGGAGTCGAAGTGATTTATAGTGGCACAACAGGGTGACAATGAGGATACAAGTTATTCTCAGAGATTTTTTTTTTAAAGTATCCAGAAGCCATGAGTTGTTAACCCTTAGGCTCGTTATTATGGATAATGCAACCCTTCGGCCTTGATTCCATGATAAATACCGCAAATCGGGGAGAAATGTGGCTTTTCTGCCTACCCCCGGGGCGTAAACCCGGACCACAAGAAGTTCGTCACCCGGTCACGGCGCAGTCCGGTTTAGCCAACTACGCTACAGAGCCGGGCCTAAGAGAGATAAAAAGATTTCAAAATTATGAAAAGTATCACCACCTCTTTGGTGTATCTCCACAATAAATTGATAAAAGTACTAGCTGGTTCCAAAAGTCCCAATGAATTATGTCGGGAATAAATGTAGCTCTGGTACCAATCAACATGATGCTTCATGAAAGAAACCACACACATTTTAACATAAAGGTTTGGATCCCAGTGTGGGTTCCAGGGCCCACGTTTGGGGGAAAAGAATAGACCAATCGCCTCTCTAACAAGCATGTCATAAAAGGCGACTAATTTGGGATTTCCCCCCAAAGAGAGATGAGGAACCAACAGTCTGTATTCAAGAAAACCAGATATGTAAAACTAATATACATGCAAAATTCAAGTTCTGGAACATGTCTAAAGTCCAGACGTGGACAAACAGCCATAACTTTCCACCGGAGTTTACAGCCAGTTATACTAAGAAGAAGAAGATTTTCAGTAATGGAAGAGGTAGCACTGAGATCATCTTAAAACTGCTATCTTCTTCTTAGAATTCACCTGCTGTAGACTCTGGCAGAAAGTTCTGGTTGTTCATCCACTGCTGGACTTAAGTCTTGTTCCAGAATCTGAGTTTTGCTTGCACATCTGTTTTATGGATCCCCTACCATGGGGCTCCAGAACCCAATTGGGGAAAATCAGAATTAGAGATGTCCTCAAGAAAGAAAAGAAAAGGCAGATAGTATAACACACATTTTGTGTCATGTAGTTGTAGAAAAAATGCTTCAACGCCATATTCCCCTTGTGTTACTGGGGTTCCTAGCAGAAACCAAGAACAGCAACCCTGCAGATCCCAAAGCACGTCATGAGGGGCAATAATGGGTTAGGTTGGTCTCAGAAATGGTTGCTCTATTTTCAGCAACAACAGTCAACCAAGAACAAGCAAACAAAAATTTATCTGCCAATCTTCCTCCTCTTCTGTGTTCACTCATAAAAGGGCAGTTGGCCACTGTTTTGTGGTTTACAGCTAGGTCATGATATCTGCATCTTTCCGTTGAACACACCTGATTGAGGCAAACATCCTGATTAGTCACCTTGTACAGCGTGCTTTCTAGGGGGGTCTGCTCCCAAAATGGGATCATGAAACCCACCCAGGGGATCAGCCAAACAAGATGAGAGGAACCTCTTCTGCTCGAAGATCTATGAAAGAGACATGGAGAAAGCTGAAAAGGAGACTTAAAACATATAAAAAAGAATTAGGGGCAAGAGATGAATAAACGGGACCACAGTGAGTGAGCTGCACAAGATGACAAAGATATGACGATCTGGCAAGTATGAGGATACAAATGTAAAAAGTTAAGAGCTTACGAAGAACAGCAGAGAAGGCAGAAGAACTTCTTATCTCCAATATGGATTAAAAATAGGATAATTGCAGGTGGTCTTCATTGTAAAAAAAGAAAAAAGTCAACATCCTGTCTGAAACAAGCACTAAGGAGAACTAGCTCGTAAAAAGCTGAAGCATTCTGGACAGGTCAACTACTATGGTGGTCTGCAGAGAATGGTGATTGAGGGGTGCAGTTTCCGGAAAACAGGTCAGAGGTCGAACTCCGTGAAGGTGAATACAGGATATCGAAGATACATTGGCTATGAAAGCACACAGGGCTGGAGAACTGATTAGAGAAAGAGACTTTTCTGGTGTGCCGTGACGAAAGTGACATTCTGTACAGGATATGCTGATTGATGAGGTCTTCATTATAAAAAAACCCACACACAAAAACAACAACCGGAGAAAATGAAGAGAACTCACATATTTATCCAAATCTTGTAGGTATCCACCTTCGCATAGGTCTGCCTCGGCCTTATTTTCAGAAAACAGTACCCTCCATCACAGTTCTCTCCAGGCCATGATGATGTTTAACATGGTTAGAATACCTCAGATTTTGACACAGAATGCTGTTTATGAGCCAATGTCTCCTTGATGATCAGATAATGTAGGATGTCAATGTCTCCTCAGATCATGCAGGATATAAAGTGTCAGTGAGGTAAATTGTGAGTTTACTGTTTAATGCTTACAGAACTGACATCTGTGCACACCAGGTTAGTACACATGTGCTCAGTCTCTCTAAGCATCCCCAAAGCAACATTTGGCTGAGCAGTTAGGATGATTATCTCTCTATAATTAGAAATGAGTTCAAACTCTTCAACAGTGAACACTTTTATTGACTAGAAGTAAATGAAGAAACAAAATCTGGTCAGCACATTCTTCCACCAGTCTTTCAATTTTCAATGACCCCTGTGTGAGTTCCAGGGCCTCATTCCGGAGAAAAAAAGAACTGATCCATTGCCAGGGCCATCTTAACAGAATTACAGACCCCTGAGCAAACCAGTGTGCTGGGGCTCCCATGACGACCATTATGGAAGTCATTTTACACATACCGATTAGTATCAGGCCCCTGGGCAAATGCCCAACGGGCCCATTAATTCAGACAGCCCTGCCCACTGTCCCTTAAAAGAATGTCTTTCCTCCAGTCATGGACTGTAGACAATGTTGCAAGAATGACTTTGAATTAAGTTAAGCTAAGAACTGACATCACAGCTCTCAGAACATTCCCATAAGTGATCCGTCCTCATCTTTAGAGCAGTTCAAATGCTGAAGGTAGCAGTTGCAGTCTGACTATATAACTGTCTTGCCTTTCGTCAGTGTAGTGTCAGCCAGATCCCCTGGTAACTCCAAGCTGCACCATTCTCTCCACACCGTAATGATCCTTTTGAACTTCTGCATTGTTCATTTGCTCGCAAAGGGCCTTGACCATTTCCAGCTGGTCATTCATCAGTTTACCACCCAATGGTGTAGCATCATCCAATCTATCAGCCTGCTCACTTACCACATAAAGTGAGCAGCGGAGAGAAGATCCAAGTGACACTAACTACCTGGAATTTCTGCAGCGATGCTTGCCACTCTGCACGAAACATGCCTCTCTTCACATTTCTCAGCTGGAAAAAACCAACTATCCAGTTTCAGAGCACAATATGTAGGACTCCAACATGTGTTTCAGAATCTTGGCTCAAAGAAAAACCACAAAGGGTACTATATGTAAGTAAACTGACCAGCGTGATGTTGACCACATCGTCCAAGAAGTTCTGACTGGTCTTTAAAATATAGGTCTAGCCCTACATGCCTAAAGGCAGCATGGAAATGGGTCCTATACTTTTAATTTCTAAACCAGCCTCAAAACAAAAAATGTGCATATTAAGCTAATGTAAGTTTAAAATGGAGACATGTTTTACACAGCTGGATTATTAGTAGAGGACAATTAAGAATGTACAAGCTGGCATCAAAAAAATATCCAGTTTCAGAGCACAATATGTAGGACTCCAACATGTGTTGAGAATCTTGGCATCAAAGAAAAACACAGAGCACTATATGTAGGACTCCAACATGTGTTGAGAATCTTGGCATCAAAGAAAAACACAGAGCACTATATGTAGTGCACCAGAAACATGTGTTGAACATCTACTGGTGTCAAAGAAACAGCACAGAGACTGTATGTAGGACTCCAACATGTGTTGAGAATCTTGGCATCAAAGAAAAACACAGAGCACTATATGTAGGACTCCAACATGTGTTGAGAATCTTAGCGGCGCATCGGGCATATGGCCAGTGGCCCAGATTTTTTTACTGACAGACCATCAACTCTGTGGGTAGCTGTCAGCACCACGAACTTTCCCCAGACAGCCCATCCTGAACATCTACTGGTCGTGCGAATTCCCATACCAGACAAAAATCCACGCAAGACTCTCAGCGATACTCCTTCCGTTACTACCTGCCAATTAGGGGTGGTTGGGATAAAAAGAGCTGCTGCCACATGAAAATTGGCAACAAAATAGAACAGCTCAGTCACAAGCTGTCATACCAAAAAAGTTAACTTGTGTATCGTTTACAGGATGTTGCAAAACTAGCCAGAGCATTTTTTGGCTGTTGTGGTTTTGCTAGTCAAATTTTACATTCAGCAGTTTGCCACTGCTTTCTGAACGGTTAGCTCTTGATACTACAGCTGAAACCCAATGCAGACATTCTACTGCCAAATCGTCAGCAGCTGGGATCGAATCCAGCACCCTGACACAACAAAGCAAATTCACAATACGTAAGTCACAAATGCCCACCACACCAAGAAACAAAAGTAATAATCTGCAGCCAAGAAGAAACTTTTCAATGGAAGAAAAATAAAGTCTCTGACAAAATACCCGACTCTAAAGTTAAAAGCAAACCCTGATTTTCCATGTAAGAGCTGGACAACACAGCCTACTTGATCTTCTGTGCAATCTCAAAAACTATCCACATGGATCTCAAACTATCCACATGGATGAGAATCCACAAGGAGTAAGTGTGCTTCTTCTTCCTTTGATTATTGTTCACCACACCCAGTCAATCTGACAAGAAAGCTCTAGGGCAGCCTAAGAGACTTATAGTTTACGGCACTAAGTGAAATCAACTCATGACTAGTGGTCCCTGAAGAATTTGTTTTACAAGCATATCTGCCGTGCCTGTTAAAAAGCCAGCTGCCATATTTGCTCCTTTCGGCTATCACGTTGATATTTCTTTAGAATTTTCTGTTTGGGTTTGATTTGCTAGAAATTGGAGTACTGTAAACTCTATTGGCTGACTTTTATTTCCCCACAAATCAGGTGATATAAGTCCAGGTGATCAATGTTAATTTTTTTTATTTTTACATCATTACGATTTTCTTAATTCCTCCTGTTGTTTCCAAGGCCCCATCTTAAGGAAAATATTAACACAACTTTTGCCCCTACCCCCTTTAAAGTCAGAATGCTGCTGCCTGACAGGTGAGTAACCAACAGTCTGCAAACAAATAAGCCAGATATGTAAAACGGAGGTGCAATACCAAAAGCGGATGAACTATCAGAACTTTCAGCCGGAGTTTACATCCAGTAGATGCAAAGTACGAAAAAGGAAAGATTTATCTCAACAATCAATATCACTGTCAACATTACCAACCTGTAAGATCATTCTAAAGTAAAATCGAACAAACAATTCTCAACAAAACTTACCAAACGCACAGCCCACCACTTCTATCCTCAAAGATATAACCATATTCCATCGCTGAGGGTTGAAGCGGAGATAGCGAGCAACGATGGGATAGATCAGCGTTCGTGTCTGCAGTGAGGCATCATCAGCATTGCCTTCAAACACCTGGAAAAAGAAAGCAAAGAATTCTGATCTAAAATTATATATATATATATACTAGCTGTACCCGGCCACGCGTTGCTGTGGCATAGTTTGGCTAAATGGAAATGAAAGAAAATAGAAACCGCACGTGTCTAATACAATCATTGTCTGCTCAGATATAGAGATAGTCTTTGATCCCCCCCCCCCCAACTAAATCCACCTACTACTCTCTCCCTCATCAAAGGTTTTTGGAAAAGAAAGACAATGGAAATCGCACGTGTCTAATATAGTTAATGTCGCAATCATTCTCTGCACGGATATAGCGATAGTCTGGTTTTCCAACTTTAGAACACGCACCTTATTATTGTGTCTTTATATTAGTGGTCATTTAAATGGTGTTATTAGCACAGTAACAAAAATGGTTATTTGGTTATCACATGCTAAAGCTGTTTGTATTTTTATAGGGGACGGAAGTAAAGCTACAACTGTACTTGTGAATAACAAAGTAAGTTGTAAAAAATAGAAAAGCGGAGGTAGCGTTAGTAAAATATAAACAAATTAGGTAATGAGAACTTGAAAATCATGTGTAAAGCTCTTAAAGTTCTCTTAAATTTAAGTCATTACCCCCTCCCCCACCGACTACTACTCTCTCCCTCTTTGAAGGATTTGAAAATCATTACCTGGCGATATTTTGTTGTTGCTGTAACTGACATTGACATCCCTGTCCATCCGGACTAAAATGGGGAGCAGGAATTGTAATAGGCAGTGAATGGGGCTAGTGTAATATTTACCACATCATCCTTCAAGTACCAGTACAACTACTACCACCACCACCACCACCACAGTAGCTAAAATAATGTCACTGCTATCTGTGTTACCATCAGAGTAGACAGAGAGTCGTGAGCCAGAAGATTTGGTTCCGCATGGCTAGTGCTGTCGCCACAGACTGGTCAGGTTAGGATGTATAATTTCACTTCCCGACAGAAGAACGCCATAACCTTACCGGCGGTCTTCACATGAGAGTACTACGGTGTAACAGCCCAACCACAACTATTACTGCTACTTTAAGTGTGTAAAGCAGTTACTGTGACTTAAAGCTCTCTCAGTTTATAGTTTGCCCCCCCCCCCCCTAAATTCATTGACAACTCTTTCCCTCACTGAAGTAGTTGAGAGAAAAAAAAACCTTGAAAGGCAAATGAACACAGGAAAAAAACACCATAATTAGGAAATGAACGCTATGGTAAACAGCACAGCTTAAAATTCCAACGCAGATGAAATAACTAAATCTAAATAAAAATAAATGGAAAGCTATGAAATTTCAGCGTAACCATGCAATCGGAAAGTTTAAAAATGCAATCATAAGTATGCGAAATGGTCAAAGTTAATTATCAAATGGTTTACCCATTTACTTATCTTTTTTTTTTTTTAGTATTAAGGGCAACATGGCTAGTGCTGTCACCACGACAGAGCAGATGAGGATATTATTTTAGTCCAGGGTAAAAAAAAAAAAAAATTAACTACTGCGGATTTGAACCCTGGTCTCCCGCACGGGAACCCAGTGTTCTAACCATTCGACCAAGCAGCCACTTCATCGGAGTAACCAAAAGAGAACTTAACTATTAGAGATGTGTGTCCCTACTACTGTGTCCCGATTATAACACAACTCAAAACCGCAGGCAATTGTTTTCTCGTAGACAGATACTCCAGATATATTAATGAAACGGCACAACAATAGAAATCGCACGTGTCTAACACGGTTAATGAAGTTAATGTCGCAGTCACTGTCTGCGCCGACATCGAAATAGTCCTTGATGCCCCCCTCCCCTTCACCATCGAAGGTTGTTTGAAAAAAAAACCAGAAAATAGAAATCGTGTTTAATATGGTTATTGTGGCAAATATAGAGATAGTCTTGTTTGCTGTACCAAGACCTACTCTATGTATTAGAGAAGGCGTTGACAGCACGTAACTCGGCAGCAAATAGTGGAAGCCTTGCGTTCTGACTACGGCGGCGCATGCGCAATTACTAACGTGGCTATAATTAGAAATCACTAAAATTATAAATATTAGTTTCGAATATTATGGCTTAAATTGTGGTCACCTATCTCTAACAGTGACAGGTTGAATTTCAAACCATGATGGTTCAACATCCGGTATCAAAACTAACATATCCTGAAAATTTCAGCTAAATCGGTTCAGTAGTTTCTGAGTCTATAGGGGGCAAACAAACACACAAACATTGATTTTTATATACATAGATATATATATAAAAAAAATCACATGGAATCTGTTATATTTTAAAATATGAATACAGCTCCACCCCCACCCTTTGTAGAATATTGCTCTCATCATGGTCTGCCTGAAAGAAACTCACCAGTTCTTCCATCCTGTGCACTTTCATATTCAATGAGTCACACATCCTGTACCCATCTTTGTGTTGGTCGGCCCCTGCCTCTCTTTACTGGTACCATGCTTTCTACTTTAATTTTCCCAATCCACTCTGGTGTTTGATATGGCCAGACTATTTCAGTTTCCAAGACAAGATGCCGTTTATTAGCCAATCTTCCTTGATGTTCTGAGTTTTTAGGATGTTAATTTTGTTTGTGTCCATGGCATTCTTTCTATAATAATTCTGCTCAAAAGCCCATATTTTATTCCTTTATAGACCCCAACCCACATCCTTATGTTGCTGCGGGGAATCAGGGTTGTTATGGGAGCAAGGTTCTGCAAAGGACACGCTAATGAATGACTGACTGACCAGACTATCAAGGTCTGAATAAATTTGTGCAACAGGGAGTGATTAGGGGATCTCGCCAACACTCCACTCTCAGAGGAAAGGCAAGATGGACTTACAGTTAGACTGCCACTGGTACAGATTGAGACTGAACTCTTAGCTGGCTGCTGAATATGAGGATGTAGAGCTTATGGGAATGTCCCAAATGATGTGATCATGGTTTTTAAAACTCAACCCAACTAGTTCAATCTAAAATTCTATATCAATCAGATAACAAAACTATATCCAGTGAAATTGTCAGTGCACACCACAGGAGCTCAGCAAAAGTGATGACTGAACAAAACAGTCCACATCTACAGTATGTGAGAATCAAGACAAACAAAGGTTTTCTAGCCAACAATAAAACAGCAGAAAACTTTTAGCAGAAACAGAAGAACAACAACCAACCTCAGAAACACCAAGCATATTTGTGTAGCGTCGCCAGGTTTTTGAATCATCGGAATATTCCAGGAAATATTCTCGGACATATTCATCACTGCCCTGTCTTCCTTGTGTTAAAAGCTGGGTGACGATGTATTGTTTGCCCATGTCTACTTGAAGCCACTGGAAAGAATTCTGTATCGAAGGTGACCAAGCTCCTGTTGACACAATTTGCGTTTATGTTAAAAGAATATTTTCTGATGCTGAAAGCCACAATACATAATTTATCTTCATCCACAGGAAAAATAGCTCAGATTCTCTAATGTTTCTTTTTTGTGTTTTCTGCTGTCTCCCCACCCCTCTTCCCACTCACAAGCATGTCATGGGAGGTAGTTAATTAGAAGTATTTTCTTCAAAGTCAGCATGCGTCTGTCTGACAGGTAAGGAACCAACAGTCTGCATACAGATAAGCCAGATCTGTTAAATAGACATGAATGCAAAATTCAAGTTCCAGATGGAAACCAAAGTCCAGGAGTATTCGAACAATCAAATCTTTCCACCAGAGTTTACAGCCAGTGAATGCTAAAAGAGGAAGAAGAAACATTGTTTTGCAATGACATCAAAACCAGTCATCCCCTTGTGGCATGCAATTTTTCATTATTTTAAAGCCCCACCCTGGCAAGAGTGCCAGGGTTCACAATATAGCCCGGCCATAAATATGGTCTAATGGCTGAACCCGGTTTCTGGAACCTCTCCACGGGTGATCCTCATCCACATGGTGGAACTTTGTGTCTCCTCAGGTGTTTATCGCTTTTATTTAATCGTGTGATGTCCTAGTGGGGTAAAATGTACTACTACTTTACTTAGTCGCTCCTCTTCTACCTTGGGGCGTAGAGGTTTGCCAGACGTCTCTATCAGCAGTTTTCTTTCTGGCTTGTAAAATGTACTACTACTACTATTATTTTGCACATTTTCAGGCACAAATGAAATGTTTTGGTTACAATCTCAACTGATACAATGAGTTGATTCTTAACTAATTCAATGGCAGGCAACACCATCTGCTTAATGGTAACTTCTTGCATGTTATGCTTAACTCATTATAACTCATAATTTAATGGTAACACCTTGCAGGGTATGCTTTAGTTAACTCATTAGAACCCATTATTTAATAGTGAATTCTTGCAGGGTATACATACCGCAAAGAAAGTTATGTGTATTATTCTCCCAAGTAAGTGACTCAGAAGAATGAATATGTCAAAGTTATATAAACATTGACCTGACATCAGGGTATTGACAATGGACTTGTAACATAAGACATCTTAGATATAATTAACTAAAGGTTGACACAACCATGTGGACATCCCATACCCGATAGAGATACTTGACTACAGACTTAGGCAACGAACTTGGACGTCTGTTGTCAGGAAGTATCTTTCCTAAGGAGGGGCGGATGTCAGAGGCTAGTTCGGCTATGGGAAGCACAACAAATGTCCTATAGTGAATCATCACGTTTGTATGAGTTGACCCTCGGTACAACTCAGTATGTGAACGGACAGCTCGTCCACGCAATAAGCCGTGCCCAGTTTAGAGGCCAGGTCGAATTCACTTAGCTGACACGGAGTGCTGCGTATTGAGCCATGAACTCGGCGGAAATACAAAAGGCTTGGTCCAAGCGGGTTTGAGGAGAGTTGTGTAGGACGGTTGTGTGCTGGTCGACAGAAAGAGACAGGACGAAAACATTGCGACGAGGTAACGGTAGTGTAGCGACGGTTAGGATGAAATAGAATATTCGTATTTAGTGTCTATGATAGGCTGTATTTGTATTTAATTTTTCGTCTAGATAGTATAGAGAGTTAAGGTTCTGTGTGTAGTAGACATTCCATGCAGTATTTGTTTGAGCAGTTAATCGAGGTGACGCGCCTTGTAATGGCGATAACACTGCCCGGGCACGCTTAGGCCATACACCTTCAGTGTATCGCTGAAGTCCCGTTTGGCAATAGACGGCGGATTGATTGGCACTGAGACACTGCCAGCTAAGAGTCGTGCTCCCCTAGATCCATGGCAGCTGGCCTGGGGTGACTAGTGATTGTAAAGGTGTCATCGCCAAGGCAGTTTAGGATGGAAGCTGCTTAGCCCAGTTGAAGTGTTGTACGTCTAATGTTCATTGTACATCAAAGATTATGGTTGTACTCAGCAGGAGTGTCGTCTTGAGTGTGTCTGAGTAGTTAAGTCTGTCAGCTGGCCTACCTAGCGAGCCATATAAAATAAGTAGAGTAGAATAGGTCCCTGACAGATATGCTTTAGTTAACTCGTCTGAACCCACCATTTAATGGTAACTTCTTGCATGTTATGCTTTAGTTAACTCATCAGAACCCATTATTCAATGGTAACATCTTGCAGGGTATGCTTGAATTAACAACTCATCAAGTTGTCACATTACCCTGTAATAACTCATTTGTTACTGTAACTCCTACTGTCTCTGGGAGAAGGGGCTTTCCGTGGTAGAGCTCTGCAAGTTGTTGATTTGTTTCGTGCACTGCGTTGTGTGATTCACAAATGCAATTTTTTTTTAGAGATCTATGGGGATCCTCACTAGAGCTTTATGATAAAGCAAAACTGTGAAGGCTTTCGGGGATCAAATGGACAGTGCAATAGAAGAGAGAGAAAGAGAGAGAGAGAGAGAGGGGGATATTGAAAGACCAATTCAGGATGATATTCAGCACTGAGGGGAAAATGAGTTGGACTCTTTACTAGGATACAGTGGTACTATTAGCATGCCAACTCTCTTCATTGGCTACTGACGAAGGAGGCGGAGCATGACTGGTAATATTCAGTGATGTCAGTTCTTGATTTATTCATTCATTGGAGCTAGATACATATTCATGTCTTATGTAATATTGTCGGCAGAGAGAGGATAAGTAGCATGGAATAAACCTAGTGTCATGAAGTCAATTCTCTCGTTTTTAAACATTTAATGTGTATTAATGTTACTTTTATAATAGCTGGTGAATTGATACACGACAAGGCACATGTGGTCAAGGCCTTTTGGGAACAAGCAACGGAATCAGTAGAGAAAGAAGATTATTATGGCCTAGAGAGAATGAGGCCCTTGGGTGTAACCAGGGGGTCTGGCAGGCTCACTTCACACAGAGGAAAGGCAAGACGGACATATAACCAGATTGTGACCGGTACCATCAGTATTGGAACTCTGCACTGGCTGCTGAAGATGAGGACGGAGCATGCATGGGAATGCCCTGAGTGCTGTGATGTCAATTCTTGACTCGACTCAACACCAATTTGCTCACAAGAGCTGCTTTGGATCCAACATCATTATCTATCAGCAGATCACTTCACAGAATGTTGTTCTTGTCAAGGCATGTCTGAAAGTCTCCCGGTCTCTCTCTTGCCAATGCATCTCCAATGACCGGTATCTACTTAGCGGTGGTCTGCCCCTGCCTCCTTTTCATAAAACTACACCCATCACTATTCTCTCCAGGCCACAATGACGTTTACCATGGCCAAAATAGGTCAGCTTCTGGGATTGGATGCTGTTTGTGAGCCGATTCTCCTTGATGCCCAGATCATGTAGGATGTTGATGTCTGGACTGAACAAGCAAAAGCAATAATTATCTGGGAACAAAACAGTGAAACTTTACCTGCTGAGCGGCCGACTCTACCATCCTTGGGCATTCTTTTTGCGTTGGAAGTACTAGCCGTAAGGGCACTATCCGGAATCCTTCCATCTTCCACACCCACCCTCTGCTGGTAGGCACCTTTACAATCTGCATATTCATAAACTTCCCCTGAGGAGAGCAAACAGTAATTGATAAGGAAACAATCCAAATGTGGTTTTGTGCATAAATGAAATAAGGTGTTGTAAAACTGTTTTATTTTTGTGTGGGTTCCGGGGTCTCATTTTGGGTGGGAAAGAATAGACACACTGTCCCCTATCAAGCATGTCATAAAAGGCAGGGGACTGCAGGCTGTCTTTTGATGGCTGCTAAAGGTATAGCCCATAATGAATTAGAGGCTCAATATATGGAAGTGTGGCAGAACAGCCATAAGTAAAATGTGACAATTCTTTGTTCAGTACCAGAGTACCTTTTACTGACTGCATTTATGGAAGCACCCTTGGTTGGTGAGGAAAGCTTTTATTCTGCCCCTATTTTCTCTTGAGGACTAAAGTTAAATTTATGGCTGCACTAGACCGGCCTGATGCGGGGCAGCACTCATGAATTTGGAAACAAAGATGATCACACAGCAATGAGACTGCAATGTCCCATGAAACTAACTGGGAAGGTTAACCGGGGCAACAAATGCCTGCAGACGTCGCATGCATTGGCCAAAAGCATGTTGTAAATGGGGGGAAAAAAGAAGATACTTTTAAACAAAAAGTTTCTTTTCCCATCTCTCATCCAAAATATTAACGGTACAGATTCTTATGGAGGTCAGGGATCAATACAAGATGAGTGTCATTACCAGTGAACCTGTTTTATTTCAAGCAAGTCTCATCAGCACAACAGGAAGAAACCCGAGAGTCAGAACCTGGGTCAGTCCACCCCTAGAGTGTCAGGAAGGTAAAGAGGATAAAACGTTAGGGGAAGGGAGACTTCTGGCAATCGGTAGCTCCTGTGCTTACTTGTCCGTGGAGTTTTAATTATTCTATATAGCAATTTATTTCTCACTGCAACTGATATATTTTTTATTGGTGTTTTTTGTGTGTGTGCCACCTTTCAATTCAGAAGTGCAAACAGAACATGAGGGTGTGGAGAAACTAGTGCCACAGGGAGTGATCAGGGAATCTGGCCAACATTCTACACTTAAGGAAGGTCAATATGGATATTTAATCAAACTGCTACTTGTAACACTGGAACTGGCCCCTTTTGCTGGCTGCTTAAGATGAGAACAGAGAATGTTTGGGAATGTCTCGAGTGTGGTTCTTAACACAACCCATCTTGCAACAGATTCTTGTTCCAAACTGCATATGGCACCTCATATCATAGGTTATAATTATGTCTGTTCTAAAATAGTTATTATACCTCTATTCCATTGTTTATCTGAATGTTTTCATTTACATTCATGTATCATAGAGGTTTTTCATTATATTTGTCATTTGATGTAACACTGTGAGCTGTAGATTTCATGTGGAATGTTGTTTTTTCCCGGTTTTGTTGGGGCACTTTGTTGACTGCGCCAATTGGAAGGTGGCAGATGATGTTCAGAATGTAGTGCACCATCTGGCTTTCATGACTGACCATTTGTGCCAATAGTATGAGCTGTAATTCTGGCACAGAACCGTTACTGTTGGCACATCTGACAGCTAACGTATGTGTTTTTACTTTGCGTGTGCAAGCTTCAAGATTTTGCTGGGACTGACAAGTTTTTCCACTTGTTTTCATACGGGTCAGTAAGTGAAAGACATTTTCTGTGACTTTCACTGGCACAAGAATGAAGAAGTCATGGAGCAACCCACCTGCAGCTAGTCTTCTTCTTGTTCAATAGCTGTAAACTCCTGTGGAAAGTTCTGATTGTTTGCCCATCTCTGGATTCTACTCTTGTTTTAGAACCTGAGCGTTGCAAGCATTTCACATCTGTTTTACAGATCTGGCTTATTTGTTTGCAGACTGATGGTTCCCTGCCTCAGGCAAATTCACTCCGACTTTGAAGGAAGCCTCCAATTAGTCGACTCTTACAACATGCTGTTTGGGGAGACAGTAGGTCTGTTCTTGTTTTTCCCCAAAATCAAAGGGGCCCCGGAACCCACAAGGGGACCATCAGCAGTGGTGATGAAACCTCGAGGAATTAACTTTCTATTTGAAGATAATTTCTGTTTTCTTTGTTCAACCCTAGTTTTTCACTGTGTACTAAAGGTTGTACATCCAAGAAATGAAATATATCATACAGACATTTAAATAGATAAACGGTGCAGCTGTGAACTTCTTACCTGTTCCGGTTCTACTGACATCAAATCTTCACTTATATTTATATATATTTCCAGGGCCCTATTATAGGGAAAACAAGAATAGACCCACTGCCTACCCAAAAGCATGTCGTAAGAGTCGACTAATTGGGAGCTTCCTTCAAAGTCGGGTGCATCTGCCTGAGAGGCAAAAAACTAGCAGTCTGCATACAAATGAGGCAGATCTGTCAAACGGATGCACACGCAACACTCAGGTTCTGGAACCAGACCTGCAGTCCAAAAGTGGACGAACAACCAGAACTTTCCGCCGGAGTTTACAGCTGGTGAATGTGAATGAATGAAAATGAAACATTTATATATATATTCTATACTGATTGGCACCTTTCCGTCTTTCCAGAGGACAGAACAGTGTTAATATAGTGTTATATTGGATATTGCTGTTACCTGCGTTAAGTTACGTGATTAGGAGGCACGGGACCCACATCTTATGATGATGGCTCGTGTGATAGCGAGATACGCCGTCGTTAAGAAAAGTCTTCCACAATTATAGCATGGATTTCATGACCACTGTTGTCATCTATTCTATACTCAACAAGTCGTCAAAAGACATTTGGTACCAAATCAACTATCTTAGTACTACTAACTACTACTACTCAGAGTACTTCGTCTTTTTAGTCTAAAAGTTTTTAGTTTAAATATTTTACAAAACTCATCATTCAATCTTTAATTATTCATGTATTTAATCCTCGAAGTCAAAGCACAACTGTTCAGTATTACAAACTACGAACCAAGTATACCACTAATGTATACAACATAAACTATAAACATTTTATTTTTACTTTCATTTCCGCGTTCTCACCTGTCCGCCATGTTACGAAAATAGGTCAGGAAAGGTGTGACAATAAAGTTACAAACACCACTTTCAAAGCTTACAAACACTATATCGTAGCAAATTCTATTTTACGCATACTTACTGCTGATAGCAGCGTTTGATAACGCGAACAGGGAAACTAAAGAAAGAAGATCAACTAATATTTTCAGTCCCATGTTTCTATCTCCGTCAACTGCCGTTCATGTTTCCAGGACTGTCACCTGTGTCACATGACTGAAATCTCATGATTCTATTGGTTAAAGCAATTAAAGGTAGATTATCACTTAAGAAACTGCCTGGCGACAAGAGTGCTCTAAGTTAACGACTTTTTCTTACTTCATCTTTTTTGATCATTTTTCTCTCTCTGTCTTTCTCTCTCTTTCTCTCTCTCTCACACTCTTGTCTTTTTTTACTTACACGCTTCTCTTGACCCCCCCCCCCTCTTTGTCTTCACCAATCATTGCCCTGTCAATTATTGCTGTGTGGGTTCCCATTGCAAGAGAAAACAAGAATAGACCCACTGCCTCCTCAACAAGCGTGTCGTAAGAGTCGACTAATTGTGGGCTTCTTCGACGTAAGAGTGCATCTGCCTAAGAGGCGAGAAACAAACCCTCTGTATAAAAACAAGTCAGATCTAAAATACAAATGTGCACGTAACACTCAAGTTCGGGAACAAAAATAAAGTCTAGAGGTGGACAAACAAATATAATTTTCCGCCATAGTTTACAGCCGGTGAACGCAAAAAAAATTCATTTGTTTAACCTTCCCCCCCCCCCCCCTCCCCTTTTTCAGGGTCTGTTGTGTTTCGAACGCGCTTTGCAATGCCAGTATGCCGGGTTCGATCCCAGCTTCGTGCCCTGCACTTTGCCTTGGTTCCGACAGTGGTATCAAGAAGCCGACTGTCCAGAAGACAATGGATGTAAACTTGCCTGGAAAAACCACAACAGCCAAAAAAATACTGGGGCTAGTTCTGCAACGTCTTGTAAAGGATACACAACTAACTACTCTCAGTGTATTGTGTTTTATTTCCTTCCACCGCTTATAACGTCTTTGTTTCGTCTTTACCTCTACTGTTTCTTCTTTTCATCATCTCGCCTCCCCCCCCCCATCTGCTAACCTTTTAAAGGATAACCCACCTACAGTGGACTACAGGTTTTGTGGTGCCCCAAATAACTGTACTACATGGCTATACAGTTTAACATGGTTTCGGGGTTTGTAGCTGTTTGATTCAACAACGGAACAACATCATACCACACGGATAGTAGTAGCCCATAAGTGCTCCGTTCTTCTTCTAACTGTCTGAGTCCGAAGAAGCTCAGCACAGTGCACATGCTCTGTAGCACCGGCGAGGATACTGAAATACTTTTGGAAGATTTTAAACTCTAAATTTTGCTCAGGCAGCGCCGTTATGCTACTCTTTTTTTTCCATTTTCAACTGCCAAGGGATTTTTTTTTTTACGTGCGCAAATAATGCACACTTGCGTCTAATCTCACTACCCAGAGACCAGGGGGAATTAATAGAAGTCCAAGTCTACGTAATAAAATCCCAGCCCTTACCGGGGATCGAACCCGGAACCTCAAGCACCCGAGGCGAACACAATGGCTTGAGACCACGCAATTCCCAGAGGAACTGTGGAAATGTGTCTAGTGTCGTGATACTGGTTCTGGTAAAAGTCATTCATTTATTGATGCCTGTCTAACCATGATTCCTAAATGTGTCTAGTGCCGTGATACTGGTTCTAGTAAAAGTCATTCATTTATTGATGCCTGTCTAACCATGATTCCTAAATGTGTCTAGTGCTGTGATACTGGTTCTGGTAAAAGTCATTCATTTATTGATGCCTGTCTAACCATGATTCCTAAATGTGTCTAGTGCTGTGATACTGGTTCTCGTAAAAGTCATTCATTTATTGATGCCTGTCTAACCATGATTCCTTAATGTGTCTAGTGCCGTGATACTGGTTCTGATAAAAGTCATTCATTTATTGATGCCTGTCTAACCATGATTCCTAAATGTGTCTAGTGCTGTGATACTGGTTCTGGTAAAAGTCATTCATTTATTGATGCCTGTCTAACCATGATTCCTAAATG